CAATGAACTCGTAATCGAGTTCGTCTATCCAACCTTATGCTTCCGAGATCTCCTACTTGTTGATTGTGGTGAGCAACTTCTGGTGATACTCGGGTCCCCATTCAAGTCCTTTTCGTCAAAAGTTGTGGCTGATAGCTCCATCTCGTTCACAGTGTACATTGGCAACCCCCTTCTGACGCTAAGTGACTCAATGAAGAAGATTGTTGGCAGACATAAAGAGTGGTTGACAAAGAAGGAGGTGGAGTACCAAGTCGATATCAACTTTGCTTTCACCTTCAAAGATAAGGTTATGAATCCGTATGACACAGCAGTCAACTGCCGCGCCTTCACCATTGTGAAGGCATCAGATGGACAAAGGATTGATTGGTGACTCACAATAAATCCTCTTGACAACATTGCACATTCCCAAAAATCTAATATCGAGACTGCATCTCACCAGTTCTCCAGACCCCAAAAATGATGAATATGTTCTCATCAACCCAGAACCAAGAACAGAGGAACATCTCTCTATAGGACCTCTGACTGCCCAATCCGTCATTGACAATCAGACACGTGTCTATCTTAAGTGTGTGGCGCTCAGGGTCGGATGCCAAAACTTTGAAGATGTCCATATCCATCTTATGCATTGATTTCACCTGTCCACCAACTCTGACTGATATCTCCTCCACATACCATCTGGTTCAGCTTGTATCTTGCCATTGGCGTTGGTGTGAACAAGTCAACATCGCCAAAGACACTGGAAAGTGGTTATTTGCGACGTAAAGGCCTAGCGCTCCCTTCATGTACTGGTTGAAGTTCTCCCTGCTCTGCCTGAACCAGGATTATAGACAGTGGAGTCATATTGTTAATAATATTAAATGCAAAGTATTCTTTACAACAATAACAATAACATGAAGAAGGTTAGGTTGTTTAAGCAAATATTTGAAGTTGATGGGTGATGTCCCAGCTCATACCATCACCAAAATATCACAAATTAGAGGGGGTGGTATCCAAGCTTTTAAGCGATGGTGATGATCAAACCCATCACACTCTTGATTCACCCATGCCCCACCAAACTTAACTTCACTTGTGCTTAGATAGGCCCTAACTCCATCCACTTACTCATCCAATCACTCATTCAAACACCACCCTTTCATTCATTCAATCAATCAATCATTCAAACATACATATACATACAATCAAACAAATAAATAAGGATGAGATTAGTGATTAAAGATAACAATGACCAGGTGGGCGAGTTCATCGCCAATTACATCTGTAGCAAGATCAACGCATTCGTGCCATCCGAGCAAAAGAAGTATATTGTGCTTGGTCTGCCAACTGGATCATCGCCACTGCCCGTCTACAAACGCCTGGTCGCCCTGCACAAGGAGGGCAGACTGTCGTTCAAGAATGTGGTCACCTTCAACATGGACGAGTACGTCGGTCTGCAGCCCGGCCATCCATTCAGCTACCATCACTTCATGCACGAGAACCTGTTCAATCACATCGATATCGTTCGCGACAACATCCACATATTGTGCGGCGTGGCTCCCGACCCCGTGGCCGAGTGCGCTCGCTACGAGCAGTCCATCATCGACCATGGCGGCATCGACCTGTTCCTGGGTGGCATTGGCGTCGACGGCCACATCGCTTTCAACGAGCCAGGTTCATCGTTGAGCAGTCGCACACGTCTAAAGACTCTGACCAAGGATACGATCATCGTCAACTCTCGCTTCTTTGAGCGCATCGATCAAGTGCCCACGCGTGCGCTGACCGTCGGAGTCGGCACGATCATGGATGCTCGCGAGGTGGTGCTGATCATCACCGGTCACAACAAGGCCATGGCGTTGTACAAGACTGTCGAGGAGGGCATCAGCCACATGTGGACCGCATCGGCACTCCAAATGCACAAGAAGGCCATGATCGTCTGTGACGATGCTTCCACCGATGAACTCAAGGTCAAGACTGTCAGGTACTTCAAGGATGTAGAGAGTGGATTATAATACATAACATACATATTACAATACAGAGTTGGCAAATGGCCATTGCTCGTTCGCCTATTTACTTATTAACATTGACGTTCATTATTCACATCAGCTGATGTGTGGCATCTGTTCAGCTGGATTCACAGAGGTCACAACATCTCTCGCAGTCTTCTTTTGTTCTTCTATAACTTGTTGTTGTCGCAGTTTCTCTAATAATGTGTGTGGCCAGGTAAGTATGGTAAGTTCATTCATTCACTCATTCATTCATTCAATCAATGTATCATTCATATTACATACCCTTTCTCTTCATCTCTGTTCTAGCAAACATTGCAATGACTTCGTCGGAGAGTACATATTGGCCAGCATCTCCAGTACCATGCTGATGTTCATCTTGATCCTCATCTTCGTTATACTCCTCATCCACATCTTCATCTTGTTCTTCGTTTGCTTCTATATCATTATGTTGCTGATCGTAGTTGTAGTAAGGTTGGTAGTGATTGTAGTAAAGTGGATAGTGATGTTGATGTTGATATTGATGTTGGTATTGGTGTTGGTATGTCGTGTCTGAGGCTAATAAGGTATCCCTTAGATAGAAGGGATGAGTGATTCGAACACCTCTATCTTGTATCAATTGGTTCAACTGTGGTGGCAGAGGTACAACAGCAGCATGTTGTCTTTGATATTGATGATAGTTATATTGCATGTTAGATATATTGTTTAATCCAATTGATTATTACATGTTTGCTGTATCTCTTCAAATGATGGAATGGTCCGCTTGAAGAAAAGTGTAGAGTTTGACGAATATTTACAAAGAGAGAATGGATTTGGTGATCTTTATTAAGATAATGGTATTCGAAAGGTTGATGATATTTACAAGTTGAGGTAGATGGATGGAGATGGATGGTTTAAAGGACACTGGCACAAATCTTAATTCCAATTAGGCCAAGGATACTGGCCAAGATGTTAAGGTTGATCAGACTCTCCGTTTCATTGGCACCTTGCATGGCAGAGTAACTGGTAGAAGTTCCAAACTTGGTTGTGGACGAGGAGTTTGGCTGTTGGACTGAACCCATCTTGGTAATTGAAGCTTCATATTATGGTATTAATATAATATTATATTTGATATATACCAGGTATATATTACTTACAAATCAAAGTCATTTTTGGAATTGGTAGTTATTTATTATTAAAGGAGAAAGAGTGGATATTTGTTATTTAATATTGTTTGTTGATTCGATGACTTCTTGTATCCTTAAGGATTGGTTATTTATACTATTTATTTCCAGGTCCATCTTCAAATTTAAGAACCTATCCTTCCATCAATCGAGGCGATCCCGATCATATCTTGATCCCTATTATTAAGTTGCACTTGCTTTATTATAAAGTTCATTTGAAGATGGATTGAGGAGATTGAGTAGTAGTGTCAGTTCACAAGATTGCATCATTCATTAAAGAATGACCTTATAGTACTTCCTAATAAAGTAAAATGATAGATTGTGTCATAACTGATTGAGAGATTGATTGATTGATCTGTGTGTTCCAGTGAGTGTGATGGGCAACACAAAACACCCTCCCCAAATCAATCAATCTGCTCTCACCTCATGATCGATCAGAGGTGTGCGGTGAATCGACGCTGACCATCCATGACCCGGGTATATTTATAAATATTGTGATGATGAAGGTAGTTGATTGTTTAATTATATATTAAGTAGATCGAGATCGAATATCAATCAATCAATCAAGATCAACTCAATCGCAATATTCAATCAATAACACTTCTTGTGTACAATGCTTCGTCCATACTCTTGATACTCATGCTTTGTTATCCATTGGCCAGGGAAGCTCTTGAGGTCGCCCAGAACAGAGCCACCACACCAGACACTGTAGTTCCTCTCGGCTGGCGCCGATATCTTAACGGGCATTGTGGACAGATGTTTCAACTCCTTCTCCAAACGTTGCTCAAAGCCTGGCGACATGGTGGAGCCACCAGATATCACAATGTTGGAGTAGAGGTCCTTGCGAATGTCAATGTCACAGCCCATGATGGTGTTGTGCAGCAGGTGCTGCACGCCATTAACATCCATGCCCAGCAGGCTAGGGTCAAACAGTGCTTCCGTGCAGCGGAAGCGTTCGTTGCCAATGGACAGCACTTGTTTGTCGGGCATTGTATAGTGTGTCAGCAGTGAGTTTTCGTCCTTCTGCATGGAATCGGCAAAGTCGAGTGCGACAAACGATGTCTTCTCCTTGATGTCGCGAACAATCTCGCGCTCGGCCGTCGAGGTGAATGCGTAGCCACGCTCAGTCAGCAGACGGATCATGTACTCGGTGATGTCGCGTCCTCCAATGTCCAGACGCTTGACGTTGTGGCTGATGCAGAAGCCTTCGTAGATGGGCACGGTGTGGCACACACCATCACCGCAGTCCAGCACGGTGCCAGTCGTCCTGCCACTGGCGTACAGCGAGAGCACGGCCTGGATGGCAATGTAGAGCGCGGGCACTTGGAAGCTCTCAAACATAATCTCGAGCATCTTCTCGCGGTTGGCCTTAGGGTTGAGTGGGGCCTCGGTGAGCAGCACCGGGTGTTTGGATGGGTCGACGCGCAACTCATTCATAAAGGTGTACTCCCAGAGTGTCTCCATGTCGGCCCAGTTCGTGACGATGCCATGCTCGATCGGGTACTTGATCGACAGCACACCTCTCTTGGCCTGTGCTTCGTCACCAATGTACTTCTCCTTGCCCATGCCCTTCATAACGCTGTTGAACAGCGGGTATCCAATGATCGATGGGAATACACATCTTGGCTTATCCTCGCCGGCGAATCCTGCCTTGACGACGCCACTTCCATTGTCAATGACCAATGTCTTCTCAGTGATCGACTGGAGGAACTCGGCATTGGACACAATGTTTGGCATCTTGAAGCCGGCGGCTGATGGTGCTGGTGGGATGTTATCCATGGTGGCTTCGAGAACGGCGGTCGATGGCTCAAAGGACAGCTTGCTGGTCTCCTTCCACAGTTTGTCAAGCTCGTCCTCCTCCTTGTCGATGTGTACCTCAGCCTGGACCTCTTCAAGTATGAAGAATGTCCATGGGCCACTCTTGCACTGGACCTTGTCGAGATAAACTGCCACAGCGTAGCCGCCTGCATTGGGTGGGGTGTATGTGACGGTGTATGTGCCGTTGTTGTTGTCCACGACATTGCCGTGGATCTGGATGCCAGGTGGACCCTGGATGAATGCGTAGAACTTATCGCCACCCTTGTTGCGGTTGTTGCCTTTGGAGTCGCGTGCCTGAATGGTAAAGGTCGATTGGATCTTTGGACGACCACTTGTGAGGCCGTCTCCGTAGCATTGAACCTGGTTGGGGTCGGTCACAGGCTCATTGTCCACGACGGTGGGGTAGAATGGACTCTTTGCCACCTGCTGGTTGACCAGGTACACGGCGATGGCGTAGCCGCCCGCCTTTGGTGGTGTGAACGATCCAGTGTACGATCCATTGCCATTGTCCTTGACCTTGCCGTAGATCTGATCGCCAAACTGACCCTGGATGAGCACGTTGAAAGTGTCGCCGCCACTGGTCATCTTCTGGCCCTTGGTGTCATAGCCCTGAATGGTGAACAGTGATTCGACGCCAACAAAGCCGCCCGTGAGGCCCGGTCCAAAGCATTCGACGCGGCTGGCATCGCACACTTGCTTCTCAACAATCGTTGGGAACTGGGGCACGACAGGGAAGTCCAGTTTCACATCGGTCGATGGCACCGATGGGAAGTCCAATATAGCTGTGCTAGCTTCCTGCACAGGAGGTGGTGATGGCAGCTGCTCAGCCAAAGCCGACATTGTAAACTCTGGAATACTCTGTTGTAGGTCTACCAAGGGTGGTAACATCTGATCATATGATCGTGTCAGTATCATTCGATTGATTGATCGATTGATTGGCATCACCAGGATACTTACGGGTGTCTCCCATTGAACGTTATGCTTCTTGGCAATGTTGGCGAGGTAATAGTTGATCAATGAGTCCTCTGGTGGCTTGTTCGACAGTCTGTGGAGGATCTATAAGTTGACGAGTTAGTTGGTCACATGCCTGGTTGTGGACATATCCATGAGACTCACTTTAGGATTTATACAACAACAGTCAATGCACTCCTCTGGGAACTTCTTTCCAAACTTCTCGATCAATCTCTTCCTTATCTTGTACAACTCGACCTGCTTGTCGAGATATGGCGCAGCGAATATGATACTACACACAGCCTCCTTGATGTCTGGTGGGCATATTCTATTCATGACAATGATGATTGTGTTAGAGATCATCAGATTGATGGATGGATGGATGGATGGATGGATGATAGACATACTTTACACCTTCCAGACCTTTGACTCTGTTGCCCAATGTCTCACAGTAGATTAGTAGTATACCAAGTACCTCTGTTTGATAGTCTTCATTGATTACGGTGACGACCTTTACACGTGCCTGGTCCTCCTTGCCCAACGACAGTAATTCAGCAACCTCTCTCTTGTGTGCATTGGCCATCTCAAGGTTCTTATTCTTATGCAATACCAATCTTGAGTTGGCCAACTTAATCATCATGCTCCTGTTGTTATCATATTCATTCATTCAATCAAACGGTCAGTCAGTCATTCAATTCCTGTTCCTGTGCCATCTGTCAACATTCATTCATTCATTCAATCATCACATACATATAAGCAGCAGTAAACTTTGTCATTCTTTACTTCTTATCTCTACTCTATCTCTATGTTCAATGTACAGTTGTATTAATAATAAATATATGTATGTATGAATGTAATATATTAAAGAGGTCAAGTTCAAAAGGTTGATTGAATAGACTCTTTGAAGATTCACGCAATAAAGGGTAGGGTAGTGTTGTGGAATTTGAAGAGTGTGGTGAAGGGGACAAGTCCTGAAGCTTTGGGAGCACCAACGTCTTCATTCTTGGTCTCAATGCTACTCGTTAGCTAAAGTGATAATGCAATAATGTATACCTATAAGTCTAGACTTGTTCAAATAATTAATTAACCAGGGAACCACAACATCAATCAACTACTAATATAATAAGTGGGTGTGAATGTGATTGTGATCGTCTTTAAAGACGATCACAACAACAACTCATCAACTGCTGAAGTCTACCAACCCAACCCGACTTCCCCTTATGTATGATTATAAGTATGTATTTATGTAATATATATTAACAAGGTTTGATCACTAGAGTACAAGTAATAGCAGCAACATAACGACTGTTGCAGGCAGGATACTTGTCATTAGTTTGTTCGATGATGATGTCACTGTTTGATTAAAGAATGAATGATTGAGTATTAGTACATGTACATCATTGAATGAATATAGGAATGAATAATTGAACACTTACATGTGTACTTTCCATCGACCTCTTGGTTACCAACTGATAACTTGACAGTGACCTCGGTGCCGAGCAAGGTAGTTAGGTCACCGCTGAACACACATGTGATCTGGTCGTAGGTGGTGACGGATGGCGAGTCACAGGGTATGTCATTGACAGTGATGTTTGCAGGGAGATTGAAGTTTGATCCGTTGATCGATATGTTGGCCTCGGCAACATACACTGAGTCAATGATTGGCGCAACGTAGCTAAAGGTGATGGCATCGGCCTCAAGGTTCTTGATTCCGTTGAGTGTGACCACCACGGGCAGATCCTTCGAGGCACCTGGTGGCGCGGTACATGCGATCTGGTTGGCGCTGTAGCTGTAGATGTTCTCGCAAGAGTAGTTTCCGAGCATCACACTGCGCTTGGTGCTGGTATCAGTTGGCAGAATGAATCCGTTGATCAGGACGAAGCCGCCCCACACTGGCATCGACTGGTTGATGTTGGTGATCGATGGCTGGATGTAGATGGGGAAGGGGTCGGTCACAATCGAGCCGGCGCCAATGTTCAGGTAGACGGACGAGTTGCCCAGCACAGAGTTCCATGGCAGAGTGAACGCCACGACGTTCTTTCCAGCATCCGAGTCTGACACAGCATTATAATCAATCTCATTGTTCTGGACCAAAGCCTTACCCTGTTGCTTCAATGGTATGTTGGTAACAATGTAGCCCAATTGAGCCTTCTGGAAGTATCTAACGATCTGGGTCTCTATTGTGACAAGGTCAGTCAATCATTCAATCAATCAATCATTCAATCATATACTTACTGATAGTCAATGAGAAGGCCTTCTCCATCTTGTTGCCATTGACTGAGAGTGTGAGCAACTGGGTGCCAGCGGTGGAGAGGAAGGCATTGTCGGCAAAGAGGATGGTGATGGCAGTGTTGGTGATGTTGCCAATCTTGACGGGTGTGTCGCCTGGCGTGACGAGCAGAGTGGCAAGGGATGAGTTGAAGCCAAAGTTCTTACCAACCAACTGCACTCCATCTTCTATGTTGGCCTGGGAAGTGATCACTGGTGGCGCGAATGTCAGCTGGATGGTGACATTAATACCGCGGACCGTGAGAGTCAGGGGTATGTTGACGCCAGAGTACTTGGTCGACACTTCCAATGGCAGGGTGAATGCGGCAGTGGTCGTCTCGGATGTCTGGCTGACCTCATTGATCGTCTCGCCATTGGGGAAGGTCAGCGAAGAGGCAGTGTCGTAGTACTTGGAGTTGAGTGACGCGCCAATCAGGGAGATCGTTCCTCCTGAGATGTCGGGATGGGACACAGTCGTGACGATGGGAGTTGGGTTCCAAACGGTAGTTTGCTCACTTGGATGTAGAGTGATCGTACCCTTTATCGAGAGAGTCTCGGGGAATTGGAAAGAAATAGCATCGCCAACTACAGTGACCTTGTCAATATTTGCCGATGAAGTCACACCCTTGATCACATAACTGATTGTCGCACTAGTTGTGGCGGCCACATCAGCTCCACTCACTGTTGCAGTGTCGGCAGTATATGAGACACTTGGTTCTCCGGCTACAAAGTGGCGAGAGTGGGGAGGAAGTTAGTTTGATAGTTTATTTATGGGACGGAATTATTCCAAATGGAGGCGAATTGATCACATACATATTGAAGCTATTAATGTAATACAAAGTAATAATAATATAGATAGTTTATACATGTTTGATTGATTGATTGATGATTGTCTGTCCTGGAAAAAGGAAGTTGGAATTTGGATGTTATATATTATTTGTTTGATCGATCCAAAGATGTTGATTAAATGATCAATGGTTCGTTGGAATTGATCAATGTAATAAACTTAATAATAATAATAATAACAACATATTAAATGCATTCAAGTTAGAAGTGTCGTTGAGGGAGTGAGTGAGTAATGGAGGGAGTTGAGTTGGTGGTGGTAGGTGACAGACAGGTAGTCGGAAGGGTGATTGGAGGCTGGAGAATAGGTGGTATTATTAGAAGTGTACCAACGGCCTTTCAAGGTCCAAGTGGGATATATATTATACTATAGTGCCAAACACAACTTTGAACACATAACTTGTCATTCATCAATTCCATCATCATCTAACACACTAACACTTGGTGTGTGTGTGTATTTAATTTATATCTCTTTGTTTGTGTGTGTGTGTTTATTATTGACACCAATCAATCAATCAATCATTCAATCACACACAAGAAGTAGGGTTGTACATGTGGTATCAAAGAAGACGACACAATGGTGTTGACTGTGGGATGGTTATCGTTTAGAGAGAATGCAATTGCAATGACATCGTCCATAATATTGTTTGTTGTCTTTCCATCCTCACCTAGTGATGTTCAAATGAATGATCACATTGGTGAGACTGAGTATGTTATGAGTGGAGTATTGAGAATGTCAAGTATTAATACAACTACTATTATTATCTCTATCTATGTGATATCATTGATCAGATCTTTTGTAAAAGCAATGAGGCATCCTCATTTTGATCTTTTTTTTTGTCAAGGCCTGGTTCCCCACTCTTCGCAAGCTTAACTTGGCTTTTGAACATTCTTTGATCTAATCAATCAAGTACATTTACATATATATATATAAATATATATGTTGGTTGCAACCAACACCAAAGAGATAATATAATGAACCCAATATCAATCAACTATATTGATGAGTTGGTAAAGGAGTACTTGATATTCAGAGGCTTCACACAGGCCAATCACTACTTCAACCTCGAGAAGAAAGCAGACAAGCTTAAAGGCTTTCAAGTGGACAAGATATTGGAGCAGATCAATCTGTACATCACAAACTACGATATAGTGCACTTGGTTGAGTTATGGAACTTCCTCGACTCTACCTTTTTCAATCGCATCGACTACAACTCTCACTATGGCTTCAAGTCGTCGACATCATCCACCAAACAGGACTTCTCGGCCACTGTAAAGAAGTTGGCCAACTCACTCAAGAAGTTCTACCTCATCACCGCCGTCAACAATGGCAAGAATGAAAAGGTCAGAGAGTTCTTTGATTACTACAGTCATGAACTAGTCAAGGATCCAGATTGGAAGCATTGGTTCGGTATGTCTCATGTCCATCATTCATTCAATCAATCATTCAACATCATTCTAATGTGCATTCAATCACATCATCAGCCTTGCCCTATCTCAAGACACCTCACCTTGACCCTCTGTTTGAGGTCTACTTCTCCAAAGGATGGTCAGAGGCATTCTCATTGTCTCTGAGGAACTTCTTGTCCACAATCTTTAAGAACTTACGTAAGACATCAAATGGTGATCACATGACCGCGACACGTCGATGTACTAACCTTTGAATGATTGATTGACACAATGTGTAGCCTTGCCAAAGATACTTCAGTTTAACTTGGAGCGACAGAATAGGAAGAGACTGGAGACACAGGTCGAGAACTTGATAAATCAGAATGAGGACTTGCGCTCACAGGTCGACAAGCTTGAGTACCAGCTAAAGCGCGAGCAGGTACAAACTGTACAACATAGCCAACCACAACAACAACAACAGCAACAACAGCAGCCAGGCACACAGGAGGTATCAGCCAGTGTGAGCTTCTCTCGTGGACGCAAGACAACAGACTCTAACAAGGATAAGTTGGCCAATAGCGGTGGGGGTGGTCCGGGCAACAACCCGCTGGGTCTGAGCGCCGACGACGAGGAGAGCAAGGAGAAGGTGGTGATAGGCTCGGGCTCAGTGCGATCACGCAAGTCGATACAGAACCAGGTGGCCTCATTCGAGATGACAGAGATGGACGAGATTGGCAAGCGACAGACGCCAAAGTCACAGGCGTCCATCGGCGACACATCGACCTACCTTGTCGACACACAAGAGGTGTGCACGTCGCACACCACTGCCGTCACCAGATGCAAGTTCTCTTCCAACGGCTCCAAGATTGCCAGCAGTGCAGTGGATGGTACCGTTCGCGTGTGGAACGTGGACGGCTTCTCTCGCCACACAACAATCTACTGTCTGTCCGAGGTCATATCATTGGAATGGGAGAACAAGACCAAGCTGGTAAGTTGATTGATTGATTGATTGATTGAGTGGTACTATTGTTGGCGCATCCTGACACTTCCTGTCCTGCCCTACCCTCAACATAGTTACTCTGTGGAACTACCGACTCAAAGATCAAGCTTTGGAATTCAACCACGGACAAGGCGATTGGTGACATCAACATATCCCAAGAGTTTCCAAGGGTTGAGGACTTGGTATGCAATCCAAATGGAAACTCATTCGCCAGCTCGTCGACGACAAATTCGAGGACGGATGGCATTGTCTATACATGGAACTTTAGAACACTCAAGACAGAGGACAGACTCTCATCGTCCAATGCCGTAATCAACTCAATGTGCTACAATAGCAACGGTACATTGTTGGCCACAGGCTGTGTAGATGGAACAGTTCGCATATTTGGTATGTTTAATCAACAATTCAATCATTCAATGACACATACTTACTCAATCACTCGATGACATATAGACATCAAGAGTTGCCAAGTGATTGGAGGATGGCAGGCACATCAACAGGAGATATTGGCTGTGCAGTTTTGTAACGATGACAACAAGATATATTCGTTGGGCAAGGATGGCAGACTGAGCCAATGGAACATACACACGATGGGCAAACCAGAGAAGGAGTACGAGTATCCAGGCTTCCCATCAGACATACATCGCACGACAAAGATATCATTTAACTCTGATGGTACATCATTCGTCGTTGGCTCCAACAATAAGTATGCTCTTATATATAATGTCGACAATAGTGTGCCGGTAACACAGATCACAGGACATTCTGGACCGGTCATTGCGGTGGATTGGCATCCAACTATGAATTGGTGTGTCACTGGATCGTTGGATCAAACAGTCAGACTCTCAAAGTTGAAGAAGAGCGCAGGAGGTGGTCTTTGATCCCAGCAACAACAACAACAATAACACTTCATTGCCCTCCTATTGTACCAACCTTCCCCCCTCCTACCGATGAGCGTCTATCGCGGCAACTCTGTACATTGGCACTTTATGTTGTCTTTTGCGATGATCATTCGATTGGTAGTGAGCTGTCTGTTGTGTCGTCATCGATCTCGTCGTCACTCGGTTGTACCATCAATCCTCTATGTGTGAGTGCATCGCCAAAGAACTCTTGGAAGTTGTCGGCAGAGACCACGATGAGGTAGTGATTCGGTCTGATGTGGTTGGTCGGTGAATCGCCATTTCCACCCATTGACTTCATCTTGGCATATTGATCAATGACATCTTGATCAACGACACGATTGGTGACCAGAAGATAGATGAGTGACCATTCCGTTTTGCTAGCAACTGTATATGTCTGCTGATCTGAGTTGGGTGGTGCCTTGGTTGCTCTCCACAGTGTCTCAAAGTTCTTTGACACTAGATTGGCATTCTCCAAGATCAATGTTGTCTCCATCTTTGAATTCTTGACATTCTCCTTTGATTGAACATTGACAAAAATGATATGTCCATCCTCCATCTTGAATACAAAGCGGTAATCGATCTTTGGTGTTGGATTCTGGCTCCACTTCAGAATGCATCTGGTGTCCCTGATGTCAGAGGTGATGGGAACATTGCTCGCAATGTTAGGGGAGTGGGTGACATTGATGTTAGTCAATGAGGACTCCAACTCATAATTTACCTAGTAAACAACAAGATTTTAGTATTGTTTAGGCTGGACCACGAAACGATATAATACATACATTGGTATTTGGATATCCATCCTTGGCAATAGCTCCACTTGAAATACTGGGCACCCTTGGCGCCACGGAAGATGTTGGGAAGTTGAAGGTTGGTTTCACAAATAAGACTCTGTTGATAGAATGGATAGATTTGTTCAAACTTATTCCACGTCCACTTATCGTGAGCCGTGGGAATGGCCAGAAGGTCGTTGGGAAAGATTGGTGTATACATAGAGAAATTAAAACTGTTGAGGTTGTAGAATGACAAGTAGAGTCGATAATTAGATGGTGTCGCTGTACCTCCTGTAATTGATGTCGTAACGGTGTCCTCTATTGGTAACAAGTACAACAGTCCTTTGAGTCTTAGGTCATCGATGGTGGCTCCACTTGGTAGTTTGTCGGACAGTGTCACAGGGTGAGAGGTAAAGGAAAGTTGACAAAGCTTCTTGTAATCGAGGTCGTCGAGCGGTCGACCAGCAGGTTGATTGAGATTATGTATTTTGAAGAATGTCTCTCTCGAGAACTCCTGTGGCTTGGAGCGACACAAGTCCAAGAAGAATGAAACGTCCTTGGGGATATAGCCAGTATCGGCGAGTCCACCTCGAATGATGTTGTCCCAAAGAGAGGTGCTATAAGTTGCGGGTCATCTTTGAAGTGGTGGTCAATGATAGTCTTGCATGATTGTCTGGTTAGTGGGAGGAGGTCCAACGATCTGTATATGTAGCTAGTCTTCATGCAATCGGTCCCACAATCAGAGGTTCCCGTTATGATGGGAATGATGAACATTTTGTCAGATCTATGCATATACTGGCCAATGACCTCGATCATTGACTTGAACACTTTGCTGCCGTCCTGTGTTTGATGGGCACTGTTGTAATGGGGAACGAATCGTTGGAACTCATCCATGTGAATGATGACAGCAGGGCAGCCCTTCCCCTTTTCAATAGTGTATCCAGGATGTCCATTGTTGCTTCGAATGTAAATTGCTTGTACAGTCCAGGACTAAAGTCGATGATCTGATCAATCGACCTGAATGGCCGACCGCCAACTCCAAACATGCCACATGAGAGTGCCAGTCTGACACCGATCATCACAGATATATCCGACAAAGGGTTGTCCAATCGATATGTGAATCCACTAAAGATGTTGATAAAGAGATAGAGTGGTTCCTCCATTGACAGTGAGAACTGTGTATCGATACCTGTCATCTTTTGAAGGATAGGTTTGAGTTGTGACGTCTCATATCCTGCTCGCGTCTTGCCAATTCCTGAACCTCCAGTAATAATGATTAATGTGTGGTCCTGAGAAATGCTCTTTCCTCTGTTCTGGAAGTTGGACAATGCCACCTCGATCATTTGTTCTTGAACTCTCTCTCGTTGTACAAATGGATAGTCATTACCAAAGACATCAGTAGCCTTGTATTTCTTCAAGGGAAACTGAACCAGTCCTTGTACTAATAAATGTAAGTGATATGTTAGCATTCTATGAATGAATAATATTGTTGACTATTCCATGATCAGAGACTTACACGATGTTGATGTTGATGATGTTGTTGTTGTTGTCATAGTGTTGCTGATGTTGATGTTGTTGTTGTTGAGATATTAAAAGAAGAAATAGTAAAGTTACAAGAGTGAAGAGATAATGAAATAATAATATTAAATGGGTAAAGTAATGAAAACTCAGATTGAGTTGAACTTCTTGTAAAAGATGATTTGGAACTTAATTATTCAGTCTTCCCTCATTTCGCCAAAAACACTTTCATCACATCAATGTAGATACAGCAATAGCAATATGAGGCCAATCAATAATTTATTCAATTAATTATACAGAGAATGGAACATATACATATTCCATATTTGGCATTAAAGAAGATTGTAAACTATTTGTTGGACATTGAGTTGGAGGTTGTTCGTAGGAACAGAGGTTCGTTGAGCAATTACAATGACAATGTTATTTTGCCATTGGCACTAGTCAGCAGAACACTACACATCATCGTATCAAAGAAGCACATCATAATGTCAACAATCGATCATCACTTCATTCGTCACCTTCTCATACATGTCAAGTCTAACAACTACAAAGTCAACAATAATGACAATGACATCAACAAGTGGTGGCTATGGCAATCACTTGAACAGATTGATATCGACTCAAGATGGTGTCCACAGTTTAGATATAATGCAAATAGAATTGATAAGCTCAAGAGTAGACTCAACATTGATGTCACCGGATGTGACAGTGTGAGGGACCTCAGTCTTCTTTCAGACAGATGTGCACCAGTCTCGCGTGTTTGCATTGAGACTTCATCTCTTGGAGAAGGGTTCAGCTACGTCCTGCGACAAATGTCAATGCTCAAGCACACGCTATCCAACATCGCAATCTGGTTGTCAATATGTGATTTTACCAAAAAAGTCGAGTTATTGAGCATCCTTTCAAGTCTCACCAACCTCACGCACCTCGAGCTACTCTACGAAAGATACTATATCGAAACCCCGCTGCTGCTCTTTCGCGAAGTCCTCCCATTGTTGCTTCAACTGCCACTGCTGCGACACTTGTCCATTGGCCCAATCATCCCAGAGGCAAGATATTATAATGGTGTCGCTGACTTGATTACGGAGTATCTTGGTCAACAACGTTCATTGACATCGCTCCGACTCACTCAGTTGATCACTTATGATCAACGTAATATAATTGAGATGCTGCTGCAGAGTCCTAAATGTACAATCGCGCACCTGGACCTCTCTGTCAAGGGCATACTGGACGTGCCAATCACGAAGCGACTGTCGACTCTCAAGTTCTTTGGAAAGGTTCGCAGCAACGATATTTGCACATCCTTTAACAATGTCGATCATTTGGAGTGGACGGCACATATTCGCAATAAGGAGGTATATCAAGAAGATGGACTAGGTTCCATAATACTCGAATGTAAATCAATACAACAATTGACTGTTACATTGAAAGGTGGATACCTATCAAGTACATTCTTATGGTACCTTTCACAAAACAAGACATTGAGAAGATTCTATTTGAAGAATGAATCAAATAGTGATAGAATCGATCTCAGCCCTCTGAACAAAGTACTTCAAGAGCATCCAACCATTGAGAACAAATCAATCAGAGACTACATTATCCAGACTGGTATACATCGGGTCCACCTGAATGTTAATTATTAACTTTTGGACCAAGTATTATATTTATGTGTTGACACCATCATCACACAAACTCTAGACTGTCTGTGTCCTTCCAAACACCAAAGAGAACAATCATTGTAGTTTACAACATAACACAACACACACACTCGTGTTTGATCATCATAAATCTAATTCTTTTGTGTGTGTTTTGGACAACAGCGCAAAGGGTCACCCAACCCACACACACTTTCACAATGCAACAAAACCAACACTATCGATGGTATTACTGATTAAATTGATGGGTTTAAACACATCAGTGTGGGTGGGTGTTTAGTTCAATGAACGATCACATCTTATTAAGATGTATTTGGCATTAAATCAGGTGTTTATTTCTGTTTGTTCATTCTGATCATTCATTCATTCTGATCACTCATTCAATCATTCACAAACAATCAATCAATCACTAACTATCAGTATTAAATATTATGATGCAGAAGGAACCTGAAAAGCTCGAACCTTGGGTTCTGGCACAGAAGAAGGTATGTCATCAATCATCACATCATCTATTGAGTGTGGAACTAACAAACAAACGAATTCGTATGATGGATGGTGGATGATGGATAGGTATTCACAAAGTGGTGTAATATTTACTTGGCATTGAGAGAGTTGACTGTGACTGAGTTGCAAACAGACTTCCAGGATGGATTCAAGTTGGCAAACTTGTTGGAGACATTGAGTGGAAAGAATGTATTGGTGTCCAAAATGCAAAAGATGAAGAGTAGACTACATCTCGTCACCAATGTCAACTTCACACTAAAGTTCATCACGGACGAGGGCATCAAACTGGTTGGACTAAGTGGCGAGAACATCGTGGATGGTGATCTAAAGATGATCATGGGTCTAATTTGGACTCTGATCAAATGTTACCAAATCCAGACCTTGTCACTTGGCGCGGGCAAGGATGGCACGCCGTCCAAGGCTGGCGCGCAGGGTGGTTCCAAAGAGTCGCTGCTCAACTGGACACGCGAGCAACTCGATGGCTACTCACTAAAGATCAACGACTTCACAACGAGCTTCAAGGATGGCACGGTGTTTTGTGCGCTAATTCATCGATTGGTGCCAGAGGCAATCAAGATGGAGGAGCTCAAGCAGGACGACCCGCTCTTCAACCTCAAGATGGCCTTTGACACGGCGCATCGCGAGCTCAACATCCCCTCCATTCTCGAGCCCGAGGAGGTGCTGGAGCACCCCGACGAGCAGAGTATAATGACCTACGTGTCGTTGTTCCCACGTGTCTACCAGAAGGCCAACGACCCCAACGCCGCCAACAAACGATTCTCTGTTGCAGTGCCAGTTGCATCGCCCAGCAATGGAAAGGTGCAGTTCCGCGACTCAATGTCCGTGAGCACCGACAACTTGCAGGAGAAGTTGCGCGAGGAGGGTGAGCGCGTCCGCAAGGAGGAGGAAGCCAAGCGCGCTAAAGAAGACGAGGAGCGTAGAATTCGTGAGGCGGGCGAAGCAGAGGCCGCCGACAAGCTGAGACGCCAACAACTGGAGCAGGACGCAGCAGAGGACGAGGAACAGCGTATCAAAGTTGAGGACCTCGAGCGCAAGATCAAGGCCTTGGAGCAACGTTTGCTCGAGCAAGAGCATGAGCGCGACCTTGAAAAGAACAACACTCACAAGGTGCTCGGCAACATTCTCAACGACATTGAGCACGCACCAGGCGACGTGTCGTGGCAGTGGGAGGACTACCAACGTGGCAACAACGAGCTTGTCGATCAGCTCCGCGAGAAGGTCGCTGGCAACAAGGAGACCCTGGTCCGTCTTCAAGAGCGTATCGAATCACTCACACGCGCCAATGGTGAGAGCACGGTAAAGTTGGACGAGGTCCATCACATGCGTGATGAGCTTGAGGCCAATCTCAAGGATTTCAAAGAGAAGTGCCAATGCAACACGCTGGTCATTGTACTCAAGGAGCGCATTGGTGAACTGGAGAAACAGGTAGGCGAGAAGGAGTCTCACTTGGCGGAGGAGATCACACGAAACAAAGAGCAGTTGGCCCAGGTCACCCGACTAAAGGACAACGTTGAGACAGACAACCGCGACCGTATTGAGGAGCTCAAGAACGCTCTGTTGGCCAAGGACAAGGACATTCTGGCCGCCCAATCCGAGACTGATGGCCTAAAGAACGCACTACAAGCCAAAGACAAGGATGTTCTGGCGGCACAGGCTGAGACTGATGGACTCAAGAACTCCCTGGAGGCCAAGGACAGGGACATAGTAGCTGCCCAGGCAGAGACTGACGGACTCAAGAATGAACTTCAAGCAAAGGACAAGGACATCCTCGCTGCCCAAGCTGAGACTGACGGACTCAAGAATGATCTTCAGGCAAAGGACAGGGATATGCAGGCTGCCCAAGCTGAGAAGGATGGTTTGAAGCAGAAGCTGGAAGAGTTGGAGCGTGGCACAGCAAGTCAAGGCAACGATCTACAAACTAAAATTCAAGAGCTGATGAGTTTGATCGAGGCCAAGGATGTCCAAATCAAGGCATTGGATGGTGATAAAACAGATCTGTTAGGCCAGCTGGACAAGTCCAAGCAAGAGTGCCAGGAGCTCAAGGTTGGCAAAGAGGGCGAGCACCAAGACCTGTCAAAGCAGTTGGATGAGCAGCGCGAGCGTGTACAAATGATGGATAATCAAGCAGGACAACTAAAGGAGGAACGTGATCGTTTGGCCGCAGAGCTGGCCGACGCCAAAGAGCAGTGCTCCAAGTTGAACAAAGAGATTGAGGAGAAGAACAAGATGAATGAATCAAATTCCAACTCATCCACACAAGAGAGACAGAGATTGATCGACGAGTTGGACGCACTCAAGCGTGAACTGGCAGAGTTGAAGGGTAGTCACAGCAAGATCTCCGAGGCACACGATCAATCAAACAGTGAAAAGAACAAGTTGATTGATGAGCTGGCCAGTATCAGGGGTGAGGTCGACAAGTTCAAGGACGTAGAGAACAATCTGCAGCAAAGTCAACAAAGTGCCAGCCAGTTGGAGAAGGAGTACCAGGAGCGTGAGACTCGCGCCAAGGAGGAGAGGGATAAGTTGATCAGTGAGTTGAATCACGTCAAGGATGAGATGGCCAAGCTCAAGTTGGTGGAGGATGCATTGTCTACACTGCAAGCCCAACATGACAAGACCCTGGCAGACATTGACCGTGCTCTGGATGATAGGAAGTCGTTGCAGGATCAGTTGGACGCAGTTAAGTCTCAGTTGGCAAACAATGCTCAGGGTGACGGACAGACAATCAAGAAGCTGGAGGAGCAGGTGTCCAATGCCAACAATGATCTGGAGGAGAAGGCCAAACAGATTGCTGCATTGGACGAACAGAGGAAGAAGGCAGAGGATGAGTCCAGCAAGACCCAGGAGCAATTGAGATTGTTGCGCGAGTCTGCACATCAGAGCCAGAGCGAGAAACAACAGCAGAATGATCAGGAGAAGAAGGATTTGCAAAAGAGTATTGAGAAGTTGCAGTCCGAGGTCAATGATCTGAGACAGCAACTGGGCAATGCAAACAAGGATGGAGCCAAGAATCTTGAACAACTACAGGCCTCGTCCAAAGACATGGCCCAGGAGAAGGAGAGACTGGAGAAGGAGCTGGCTGCACTCAAACAATCGAGCCACAGCGAGATACAACGTCTGACCAAAGAGTCTGATGACAAGCAATCAGCAGCTAAGGAGAAGGATGCAGCTGCCAACAAAACACTGACTGATGCCTTGGACAAGTTGAAGACTTTGACACAAAAGTACTACAAGTTGGAGAATGACCTCAATGAGCGCACCAAGCAACAAGACCAGCTGACCAACACGGACAAGCAGTGGAAGTCGTTGGGTCAATCATTCGACCAACTTCAAGAGTTGATCAAGAAGAACAAGAAGAATCAAGAGGAGAAGAAGGAGGCGGCAGCCACTCAGGCCTCATTACAAGAGAGAATAAGTGCTTTGGAAGATCAACTACGTCAGAAGGAGTTGACAATCAATGGACTTAACGCAGCGGCAGCAGCAGCACCAGTGGCTCACGACCATTCAGATTCGGAATCAACTGACAACAATCATGATGAAGCAGTAATTGAGCGTATGATCATGGATGTCATCAAGAACCTAAAGAATCCAGCTCAACAAACGGTGACAAAACTGCGCCACAACAAGTACTTTGTCAACAACGCAGTGGTTGATGTATACCAGGGTGGTGAAGGTGCACTAATGGGTAAGTAATTGATTGAATGATTGAATGATTGACGAACATTCATTAACAAACTTCCAACATGTACATCCCTACTCTACAGCTAAGAACCAAGAGTTGGATGCACCATTCGAGTCATTGATGGTCAAGGATGACCGTCCCTTGTTACCATGGCTACTGATTGGTGGATTAATGTTGGCAGTGGCATTCTTTTCTCAAGGTGGTTATGGCCGTGCTTTCTCATAGTCCTTCCATCTATTCAATCAACCTTCCACCCATCAATCAATCAATCAATAAAGTATCCAACATCAATGTTGGATCATTCTCTGTATCTACAAGTCCATTTGATCATTTACTAAGTACACATATTGATACACCTATCAGGATGAATAGCATCCCTATGTATGATTCTAATCATTGATTGATTGATTGATTGGTTAGTTGGTATGATGATTGTAATACTGCTATTAAACACAACTTACTCATTCCAAGTGTCTTCTCGCCCAGCATCATACCCATCAGTGCAGTGAATAGGAATGTCAATGAGTTTGAGATGGGTACAACCAGTGATATGTCTGCTTGGCTGAGTGTATAGAAGAAGACTACAGACCCACTCAGGTTGGTGAGCATTGGTATAACATACTTGAAACAGAGAGAGTTAGTTCAACTCAAGAGAGTGCTTAGAAGTCTCTCAATCTAGATTGATACATACTGATGGCTTTGTCCAAAGATAGATGAACTCTGCAATGAACTGATGAAGGGCGCCTTCCTTCTTGATGGCTGATACACCTTCACTGCCTCGTTTGATCAGAGGGTTGGTGCAGCCCCAAATGATTCCAACCAGTACTAGGCTCAATGCATTCTCTGTTGTTGAGTGGACCGATTGATTGATTAACATCATGATTCGTTTCATTCAATCACATGATCAGTCCTTACGTAGTAACATCTTGATCAAATCTGTTGTTTGTATCTGTATATATGATGTAGTTGGACAACAAAATAATGAAGTAAATCTGATCAGAATCGAGTTGACAAGCATGTGATGATCATCTGACCTGGAACTATTCCGACACCCCCACAAATCAATCAACAAACGACTGAACGAATACATTGAATCCTTATTAGGATTGGAGTTTATTATTATTATTAGTCATCAATTGACTCTTCAAGAACTCTCCTGGGTACCTTGATTAACATACGATCATCAGTGATCTCTGTGTAGTCTGTTTGCTTGCGTTTCTTGGACTGGGTACGCTGCTTCCTCTTCTCAGCCTTCCTGATGGCATGCTCCTTTGGATCGGACACCGCCAATAGCTTCTCCTCCTGCTTCCTCAGTGCACGCTTCTTAAAGATGGCACCTTCAATCTCGCGGAATGCCAGGGAGAATGTTGGCGCACCAACCTTCTTTTTGATCATGTTGAGCACCTCCATTGAAAGGTCCTTGAGCTCCTTGGTCGGGTTGTACTTGGCTTCGGATGACTTGTACAGTGGGTACAAGACGATGCTGAGGTACTGTGACATGGACTTCTCTGGCAGCTGGTTGGCAACTGCGCCGACCCATCTGAATACGTACTTCCTACGCATTGTACCAAATTTGGATGCCATGTACGACAGTCTCTTGAACATCCACAGGAGCATTGGATACTCCTCGCCCTGTTGTTGGGTCTCTGTTGACTTGGTCTTTGTCGGGGTTGAGCTAGTGGTCTTGCCATTGGTATTACTGCTCTCCTCCATCTCTGTGTCGCCGTTGAATCCCCAAACATTGTCATCTTGCTCTTCACCTTCATCACCATCACCGTTGACAATGGCCTCGCCATTCTCCTCTGCAATGTCTTGGATATCCTCCTCAGCATCCTCCATGGGCCTGATACTTTGGCACTTGAAGAAGACGTTTGAGAGGTAGAGGAGGTTCTTGGTCACCTGGAGACCTAGGTCATCGGTCAGGAACCTGCTGTTCAGTAGCGAACAGGTCTTCTTGGTGATCTGGAACAATGTGGTTGGGTTGAAGATCGTGGTCTGGACCGTCTGCTTCTGTTTCTTCTGTGACGTGCCCTGTACAATGTCCTTGACACCGTCCAACTTCTGTGTGTTGAAGTATTGGCCAAACAGTCTGGTGACTGATGTTCTAACCCAGACATGAGGGTAGTTGAGGTACTCGATGGCCACGGGCCAGAAAAGAACAAACTTGTCGCTCGCATTCATGGCGGCAGCGTGAACAGGGAACATCTTCTCAACCATCAACATGATATTGTAGTACAGTGCCCAGCCAGTGAGTGCGCTGGATGACTTGGTCGCCTCGTCGTCTCCACCAATCTCCTCGAATATCTGTGATGTCTGTTCGAGGCGTCTAAGTTGCTCCAAACCTTGCTTGAGATGTCCGATTGCAAGGGGCATTACTTGATCAAAGAATGTATGGAAGTTGGTAATAGCCTCTGAGGCCAGGCCTAGGACTTGAGCCGCTGTCTTTGACATTGGCACATTGTCTCCCTTGCCAAACCATGCCAATGTGAGCTCGATCAGCTTCTTGGACACTTGGTTGGACACACCCTTGAGCAGCATCAACAGCACGTTGCCAACTTCTTGGCGACATGGAAGTGATGTGTCGTTGGCTAGACGTGCGATCAATGGGACGAATAGGAGCTGGGCATAGGTGTTGAGCACTTCTTGTGGGAACTGATCGACTATCCTAACGAGCATCTTGAGCACGGCCAAACGGCCTTCTTCTGCCTCGTACGCCATGTTCTTGATGAAGAACGTCAAGTGCTGCTTCAAACGTTGTTCGCCCATTGGATAATGCAACAGGAAGTCTATCATCAGATCAGACAGGGCCTTCTTGATAAAATTCTTCTGTGTCCTGATCAACATGTTGCTGGACAGGTCAATCAGTTCGTACACCTCTTGTAGCATCACCTTCCTCTCAATGATCACCTGATTTGATTGGATTGATTGATTGATTAGTATGTTTGATTGATTGATTGAAAAGTTCCATGTACATACATGGAGCATCTTGATGGCTCGCGTCTGCTTCATATCGTTGCCGGTGAAGTACTGCTTGGTGAGGATGAGGATGGCCTTGAGCTGAGCATCGTTGAGAAGTTTGTTGGCTGGATCCTTGATGATCTGGATGATGGTGCTGTAGCACACGGATGAGACCTTCTCATTGCCAGCGTCTTGTTGGAGACGCTTGAGGATGGTCACTGTGACGCTGGCAAGTTGTGGACGCAGCGAGGGCAGCTCGAGGTGGAGAAGTCTGTTTAAACACTTGATCGAGTGGAAGGCGATCTTTGGATGCTTGTCATTGAGTGTGGCGATCAGACTGGGCACGAGTGGGTCCAGCATGGGGATGAGTGGACGCACCTCCGTGTCAGACTTGCTCATCACGTTGAACATGAGCTGCAGGGCAAAGTCAGTGTAGACGAATGAGTTGTAGCTGAGACTCTTGACGCGCTCGGCCTTGGCCTTCCTGGGGTCGGCCTGGATTGTGAACGTCTCCTCGTACGTGGGCTTGAGGTTGGGGTTGCGCTTGTTCTCTGGCACGTCGTCGCGACGATGAGTGCCACGCTTGAACATGTTGAAGCACAGGATGAGGAGGTCGCGATCAGTTGATGACTTGTTGCGCAACACTGCCTTGGCGATCTTCTTGAGCATCTTGCTCACGTTGGATACTAGCTTGGGCGAGGTTGAATCTTGGAGCACGTCCTCAATAGGCTGCAACACAACCTTGGTGATGCTGGTCGATGTGATCAGCTTGACCAACACCTTGAGCGCGCTGAGCACACGTGGTTGGCGTGCCTCCATGAACGAGTCTTGGAATCGGGAGTCCTTGGGAATGGTGATGTCCAGGAAGAGGTAGTCGATGATGATGTCCATGACCAGTGGTGCCTGCTTGTCGATCTCGCCGGGCTGCACGCCATCCTTCTCCAGCTGCAACAGCAGCGCGTGGAGTGTGAACACGAGCACATGCTTCTGGTAACCGCTCTTGAGCACAAACTTGAGGTCGTGCAGCATAAAGGGGAAGTAGCGCACGCCAAGGATGCCCTGTACCTTGACCAGTGTTTGACGGGCCATCTCACGCGACTCGACCACCTTGCTCTTGAGCTCGTTGGCCAGCTTGCCAATGAGTGGTGGGTAGAGCGAGCGCGTGGACTCCTCTGGCAACAGATTGTACAGCTTGAATATGGCTACGGCCACGGTGATGTCGACCATTGTGTCCCTGTCCGCCTTGTCCTTGCTCTTTGACTTGCCATCGATTGCCATTGGCTTGGCTGGTGCATTGGGATCCTTTCTCTTCTTTGAGGAGAACAAGAACTTCTCCAACTCTGGCACCAATACGTAAATGATCGCCTGATGTATCTCCTCGCTGACGTTGCGCACCTTGACTCGCTGGGCTACATGCACCACCATCTTGGTCGTGGCAATGTCCAAAGCCTGAATCTGTAACCTGTCCGCCTTGTTTTCCTCATCATCTTGCGCGTCCTTGGGGTCTGTTGAGGCGGCGGCTGCAGAGGCCACGGCAGCCTCGTCGTCATCCAACTCGCGAGTCGTGTCCTCCTCCATGTCGGCAGGGACGAATGAGATCTGGGCCTTCTTGCCCTTGACTGACTCGACCATCTCTGGTGCAATGTCTGTTTGATTGACGAAGAAGTGGAACTTGTCCAACACCTCGCACAGGGCACGCAGCATGAACTTGCCCTTGAGGGGATGCTTGGCCATGGTGCGATGTAGCGTGCGCACCATCTGGTAGTATGGGCGCCACTCTAAGATGGCTGCCATCTCACCAATGGCCTTGGCAATCTCACCTAGGTAGGCAGTCTCCTTGTTTGAAGTCTCGAGAATGGCGGCCAGACAAAGGGGCAGGATCAACTGAGTGATGGATGGTGCCTTCATCGTGTCCTTGTGCTCCTGGATATTCTGACGCAGGATTGTGAACGAAGACCTGCGCTTGGACGACTGGATATTGGTGTAGAGTGCAAGGAATCCCTTGTCGCCCATCAAACATTCGACGTCGCCAAAGAAGTGAAGTGGGAACTTGGCCGCCAGCTTGTTGAAGAGGTTGAGCATCTCAGTCCTGGCATCGCCAGGCTCCATGAGGTTGCGCTTGACTGCTGGGACAAAGATCTCGTGGAGAAGGCGGCAGGTCCAGTCCAGCTGCTCGGGGCTGTACGATGACATCGCCGCTATGAGCTTGGAGAAGGCGTTGGCGGCACATCCGCGGATCGAGTAGTCTGCGTCCAAGAGGTAGAACATCATATTGTTGAGGATTGGCGCCAACTGAATCTGATCGTACTGACCAAGCAATGGTGTGAGCTTCTCGAAAGCCTTGAGACGCGGCTCAAACTCGTAAGCATCCAAACGCACGGTGTCCTGCTTGAATGCATTGAGGTCGGCCAGGAGTGTGGCGATCTTGCCAATGGATGGCACCTTGCGGCCAATACCCGTGAAGATCTGGCACAGCAGCTCACGGGTCTCGCGAGTCACAAAGCTGGCAAAGAGTGAAGAGAGCGCGGGCACGTGGCTGGCGGGGTCGGAAATGTGCTCGACCAAGTTCCTAAAGATTGTGAGGATGGACATCACAAGACCCGGGTCGCTCTTGAGCTTGGTGACCGTGGACGAGCCGGCGGTGAAGAAAGGCAGCAGCAGCTCGAGTAGCTCGGCAGATTGGTCGCCGGCACGAGCATACTTGGAGACCTCAGCCAGGACGACAAGTTGACGACGCGAGATTGAATGGAGTGATGCGCCTTGCTTCTTGTACAGCACGGCCTTGACCGAGGTGATGATGGGCGTGACCAGGGGCTGCAGCACGGCCATGTACTGCTCGTGCTCATCGGCGCCCAGCAGCAAGTTCTCAATCAGCATCATCACATCGGATTGCATTGGCTGGAATGTGACAAAGGAGATGAGCTTGGGTAGCAGCGTGGGGTCGGTCGCGAGGTGATGGACCAGGAGTGGGTTCTTGGACACAATCAGCATCACCTGCTTCATGCCCAACGAGATGCCATGTGCCTGGATCGCAGGCCACATCTGGGCAAACACCTGGAACAGTACCTTCAGGTGTGTGTTGTGATCAACGCCACTGAACTGCTCGATGATTCCAGAGATGCGCTTGAATGAGATTGAGCGAAGTTCGTTGGCCTTGGCGCTGGCGTATCCCTTGTTGCCCATTGATTGGCATGACTTGATGGCGATGGCCAACAAGATATGCATGATTGCGTCCAGATTGGCGCCCAGCAACAGAGTGCCCATCTGTCTGATGAACGGGTGCACCACATTGAGGAAGTTCACCTGTGAGTCGGTCTGTGGCAGCGCATCGAGAAGCGCGGGTGTGTACTGGTTGATGGACGTGAGCAGCGCGCTGGAACTGCCCTTCTTGACGGGTAGCATCTGAAGGAACTTGGAGAAGGCGGAGGAGACACGCTGCCAAATGGGCGTGATCTCGGCTGATTGGAGACCCGAGAGATAGGCAAAGATTGTGGTGCGCTGTGCGTCGATGGTGGTGCGGTTGCCGCTGGCCTTCTTGTTAAGCTTGGACAGCAGGATCTTGATGATGAGCTCTACGATACTGGCGCGATTGTCAGCTGGCACGCTACATGATGGCGACGATGCCGAGATCACAAAGTTGACCATCTCCTCGCGCATCGTCTTGTCATTGATCAATCGCTCAAAGTTCTTGCGGTATGGTTGCAGCTCAATTCGCGACAACAACATGCAGGCGAGACCGGCCAACTGAATCTTGGAGTCCTCAATCTCGAGCGTGCGCACAAAGATTGCGGCCATCATAGGTGCGCGATGCATCTGCGCGGGCTTCTTGAGCTGAGCAAAGAACTCGAGGAAGTAGGTTAGCAGCTTGTTTGCTTCGAACTTGGCAAAGATGAGCTGGGCACGCGTTGAGTCGGTCAGCGCACCGAGAGATGCGTCGAACGGGCGGGCAAAGACCGCCGAGAACCTGTGATAGTCGATGGCGATGAACTCGAGGAACTGGACAATGATCTCCTTGCTGTAATGCTCGATCAAATGGCCCAGACGAGCATAAGTCTTCCAGATCAGCTCGTTGTATGATGAGAGGTCTGTTGATGATCGAATAATATTGCGCACACCCAAGTCTGCGTTGAACGTGCCCTTGGCCAACTGCTGCACCTCGCCGTACACCACAGTGGTCTTCAAGCTCGAGAGGTCCAAGTGGAATGTGTCGTCGTCCTCCTCGTCCTGTGCCTCTTCCTCGTCGTCCTGCTCGTCCTCTACCTCATGTGTGTCCTCAACTGTGTCAACATCCTCCTCATTCAACTCCTCGCCAGTGAGCTCATATTCATGAGCATGATTGCCTGGTGTGTCGATGTCCATGGGTGTGGCGCACTTCATCTCTTGAAGCTGTTGATTGACGTCCTGGAGACGCTGGTAGAGCAGCGGGTAGAACACCTTGACCTTGTCCTGGGACTTGCACACTTGGACGATGGCATTCTGGATGGCAGTCCAAAGTGGTGTGTAACGGATGTAGTAACCACCGAGCAAGTAGTTGTAAAAGTGTTGGCTCAGCACATTGGTCTTGCCCGATGTGTGCAGCACTGTCAACGCGTCCATCTTGGACACTACATCGCGTCCCTCTATAGTATGATACTGAGTTGTCTCAATCTCCAACATGTACTGGAGCATTCTTTGAATGTCGACCTGATTGATAGATTAATTGATGGATGAGTGTGAGTGCGTGATTGGAGTGATTGAGGGCAAGTTGAAGATAACTTACATCACTTTCGGATGATGCCTGTGTGGCCTTGTGGAGGCCGACCAACATTGATACCGTCGTCCTTCGAATGGACGTCGATTGATGCGAAAGGTTATTGCTAAACAATGGCAATAACTTGAGGAATTGGTCATATGATACCAATGGTGTGATTGTGGCTGTGGCTGTTGCTGTGGCTGATGCTGTTGGTGCTGCGGCGGAAGCCTTCTTCTTGCTGCCGGCTACTGATGATGATGATTTTTGAATGGTTGTGGATGCGGATCCCTTCTCAAGAAGCGTCTCCAGATAGATGGCCGAAGCGTTGAGTACGTGGTAGTTGTTTGGCAGCTTCTCGAGCAGGGCAAACACCACGGGACTGAGTGAGATGAGTGTCTTGGGTGCGAGACGGGAGGTCAGGATCACTCGGGTGATCAAACATTGGCCTACGAGATAGGTGGTCTCGTCAATGGCGGTCTTGCCTCCGACAGCGGCCTTGTTGTGTGCCGCGCTCACACGCTCAAACACCTTCTCCAGGGTGGCCAAGATTGTGGCGTCTTGGAACTCGAGCGATACGGCCAGCACCAGACATGCCCAAAGCATTGAGTTGTCGACGTCGGCCGAGCCAAGGACACTCTTGACCTTGGCAGACAACTGTGGCGTGGACTTGAGCGTGGGGTACTCGCGGATGGGGTGCAGGCCATCCTGGCTGGTCGGATCAAGGGCCACCAGGCGTACGAGGAACGAGAGTACTTGCTCCCAGTCCAGCTTCTCCATGTTGCGCTCGACGTACTTTAGCAGACGAGTGATGATGAATGACTCGAACAGCTGGTGACGCTCCATCGACAGACAGAACGAGATGATGTTGGACTGCGACGATTGGTCCGACAGGGCAAAGAGCACGTCGACCAGCGTTGTGAAAGCGTCCCTCTGCTCCTTGAATCGCGCAAAGTATGTATGAGGCAGCAAGCTAGACATTGTCAAAGTGATGGCCTCAATATCAAACGACTGCTTGGCAATAATGCTCTTGTATGTCTTGGTATTAAGTACGCGGCCAAGTATGTTGATTACATCGCCGTAGTCTGTGTGATTGAATGGCGTGAGTGAGGAGGGCGTGCACTGGCATCTCGGACAACTTACCCTTGATGTTAGCTCCACGCCTAAACTTGATGAACGACTGGATGATTGTAAAGAATGTCTTGTACTGCTTGGAGATGAATGCGGGCCATTGTTTGGCCTCGAGTTGTTTGGCCAGGAAGTCGGACTCGCCAATGAGTGTCGCCCAGATCGCATCCATGTTATCGCCCTCGTTAACTGCATGTCTTAGTATGAGTTGGAAGAATGGCACTAGTATGCGGTGTGCGGCAACGACGGCTGACTCGCGACTAGCGTCGACTGCGCGGAAGGTCAGCGGCAGAGTGTGCTCGGCTCTCGAGTGGAACTTGCCCTTGACACCCTTGATCGATTGGAACAGCAGGTATGAGAATGCGTCGCAATACTCATTCGAGCTGTAGTGAGTCTCTGCACGCTGGAACATCGCCGTCAACGACTGCTGCAGCTGCTCATATTGTATCTTTCGCAGAAGGAATGCCATCGACTCTGCAGCGAACCTCCTAAGGTATTTCTTCCTAAGTCTAAACAACTCTGAGTATATGCTACATTAAGTGTCAAGTGATTGAGTGAGTTAGTGAGTGTCGCGCGTTAGACAACACATTCGCCATGTCGCGCCAAGACCATGGACCATGGACTTACTCATAGAAGCGGATAAAGTCCTTGCATATTTGACGCTCGAGGAACTTGAAGAGGTAGCATAGTGATGTGAACAACTCACTGATGACCTCTGGTGTCGGTTGAGGACGTTGCAGCATTGTGATCATGGTTTGGAGCACGGGAGCATAGAAGTGCTCAAAGAACTCGGAGCGGAGATCGCGTGACAAAGCCGTCAGCAGACCGAGCAGTGGCTGGAGTGCCATGGTACCGGCAATGGCCATATGTCTAGTGATCACATCGACCAGATGCTCCTTGTGCAGCAGCACTTCGGCCAGCGTCACTGGACACTTCCTCAACTCGATTTGAAACTGCTCAAAATGCATCGTCAAGTTGAGCTCGCGCCATGCCACCATCGTCTTGTGAAAATACGAGTCACTCTGTTCCTCATCCTCCTCCAACTCAATAACAACATCTCCAACCTTATTGAATATATTTATATCGATACTTGATATCTGTTCGCTAAATGATTTAAACTATTTGATTGATTGATTGATTGATTGATTGATTGATGTGAGTGATGTGAGTGATCGAGTGATCGAGTGATCGAGTGAGTGAGTGATGGGGAGTACGTACTCTATATGTATTCTTCTTCTTTGATCGTCCAACTGATGGAGTGGCAGCGATTGGTAATGTGGACTGGTCTCCCTCTTCTGAGTAGTACTCTTCGGCAGTTGTAGTGAAGCCATGTTTACTCTTCTTGCTAATGCTAGTAGTGTCCATATTTGAAAACACTCACTTCACTTCACTGATATTGACTGATTATATATGTATGTATGTATGTGTAAGAGAGAATATGAGTTGAAACTATGGATTCATTTAGACGAACGAGTCGAGTCGTGAGTCGTCTTCAAAGAGTTCAAAAACACTGATTTGATTTAATTTTATTCGTTTTTTTTTGCTCCATACTGAAGTGTGACATTCAACAAAGATGGGTGTTCAATTCAAAAGGCAAGTGAATGACAAATACAATCAAACACATATGCACTTATTCATAATCTAGTATTCAATCATTCAATCATTCAATCAATCACACCCACACTATCATCTCTCTGCACTCACCGCCACAGCCACCGCCAAGATATCCAAATGAAATACGTCGCATTCATTTATTTTGAGACTGTAGATTTAATATATCATAGCACTGCATTATGTGATGGTGCTTAAGCAGGTGTTTGCCCTTCCATCTACACTCATGAATTACTGTGGTGTGATGCATCACCACCATCATCAACCAAATCATACCACCAACACAAAACACACTAATAAGGGTGTCGAAGAATGAATATAGGAATGAATGAATGAATGGATGAATGGCTGGATGGATGGATAGATGGCTGGATGTATGTATTGGTGGCCCTGCCGCCCTCTTTTTGTACAAAGGATGACCCTACACACAACACATAATACACTACAACAACAACAATCAAACACATTTTTACAATAAATGAATGATGAGATTAATTTTCCTTTCATTTTTTCATTTATTATTTCTCCCTCCTAATAAATATTTATAACATAAAGGTAAATAATTATTATTATTAAAAGAATGAGAGGGATTATTCCTCTCTTTCTACTTTTATTATTTTGTTGTAGTTGTTGTTTAACAGCATCATCTTCCACCAACATCAACAAGAAGAGTATGATTTATAGATGGATGATGAATGATTGAATTTAACAAAGACTAATTCAATATTATTATTAATACCTTTTTAGAACTATGTGGAGATATATATTGCCCAGATCATCAAGTATGTTGTGGCGAGGAACATTGTTTGCCACCAACTTGTTTGGATAAATGTAGATTTCTTCAATGTCCACCAAACCTTGCATGTCAAGTCGTCAATGGTGAACCAAGATGTGTTCCAGTCTCTCTATCGACCTCCTCCTCGACATTCACTGGCAATATGACAACATCCTCAACATTGACTACAACAGGTGGTGTCACGACTACTACTTCATCCACCACATCAATGTCATCAACAACCACAACACCTCCCCCTACCCAGCCTCCAACCGAGCCTCCATCTGACCCTACTCCGCCACCAACTGAGCCGCCAACTGAGCCGCCCACTGAGCCTCCCACCGAACCCCCCACTGAGCCTCCCACCGAACCTCCCACTGAACCGCCAACTGAGCCTCCCACTGAACCCCCAACTCCTCCTCCTGTTACTCCGCCTCTTACTAGTCGGCCTCCCATCAAGTTCTTTATCATTCAAGGATATATTTGGGATGATACAATTGGTAACCAGGGTATTCTTAACAAATCAAACTTACTCAATGGCGTGAGAATGGTACTCCAAGACAACAGCGGCAATCAGTTGAAAGTCATTGAACAAGCGAATGGTACCTACTCTTTCAACAACCTACCATCTGGCCAATATTGCGTCGTTGGATCCTATCCAAACAACTCCTACGTTCCGGGTATTAACAGGAATGACAATGTATTCGACATGTTTGGTAGATTCTGCACCGCCCTTGGTCCATCACACACTGATGCATACTTTGGTAAGTCCCTGATTGATCGACCGGAACTATCCCAATCAGAGTACTAACTCAACCCTACCCCCCCAACCCCCAACACCAACACTAGCCATGGTGAAGGTACCTAGGTTCTCCATCCAAGGATATATTTGGGATGATACCAGAGATAAGCAAGGAATACTTAATACTTCTAGGTTACTTGGTGGAATGAGGATGGTACTCAAGGATTTCAATGGACATACGATCAGTGTGATTGATCCTGCCAATGGCACATATTCATTCAACAACCTCTAGTCTGCATCATACTGTGTCTATGGATCAGACCCAACTGGCAAGTACGCTCCAGGTATACGCCACAATGACAACGTGTTCAACAATGGCGAGTACTGTATCCATGTTGGTCCATCATCTTTCTTGAATGGACCAATCTCCTTGCTGGATAATACTGTATCTTTGGCTCCAAGTTAGGATACGCACCTGGCGCCAAGGCCAAAGACAACGTATTCTCCACAGATGGCAAGTTCTGCACAACAGCTCCACCATCAATCCCAAATGCCCACTTTGGTAAGTCAACCCCCACATACTTGGAATCATTCCAGTATCTAACTAATCCCTATCCATTATCCAACCCACCTATCAACAGCCATGGTAGCCAATCAGACATTCCGTATTGGAGGATACTTGTTCATTGATAAGAACGGTGATGGAGTTAATGACAAGGTTGCATGATGCTCGTATGCAGTTGTTCAATGGCAAGGGTAACTTGTATATCACCAAGGAGAACACCTTTGCAACGTATACATTCGAGGACCTTAGAGCTGGAGAGTATTGTATCGTGGGATCATACCCCAATGGCAGCTACATCCCTGGTAAGAATGACAACAAGTTCAACAATGGCAAGTTCTGCACGAGTATCCCACCCAACGAAGACAATGCCGACTTTGGAATGGTGCTCGCTCAAACATACACGATCCAAGGCAGCGTATTCTATGATGTCAACAATGATGGCGTGCTCAACACGGCAAACTTGTTGAATGGAGCGACCATTGAGCCTCAAACAGACATTGGCACGAATATTCAAACGTTGGAGAATGTTACAGGATCATACTCATTCGCCGTACCTCAAGGCACCTATTGTATTGTCGGACGCTATCCCGATGGTACATACATATCAGGTGATCACATTGGCGACAACGTGTTTACCAACGGCAAGTTCTGTACTCAAGTGCCTCCCAACAACCTATCGGCTCACTTTGGTATGAAGAAGGCTCCAACATATGTACTCGAAGGAATTGTTTGGGACGACACTCTAGACAACGCAGGAGTGTTCGATTCAAACAAGCCAATTGAGGGCGCTGCGATGGAGATCCAATTCGCCAATGGCACAAAGACTGGCACAGTATACTCTTCACAAACAGGAGTATACTCATTTGTCAATCTACTCCAAGGTCGATACTGTGTTGTGGCAACCAAGTCCAACTATCTCCCAGGCTTTGCCATCCGAGACAATGTATACGACAATACTGGCAGGTTCTGCACCGACATCCCACCATCAAACTCCAAGGCATATTGCTGTAAGTACTTGTTGGAACACGATCACTAGCTCACCGCTGGTCAATCACTAACCGAATCACCCCCCAATCACAGCCATGATCAAGGATGAGAAGTACACACTACAGGGCATGACATTCAATGACAAGAACAATGGAGTAATGGACCCTAATGACTTGGTCAAGGGCGTGAACCTGGAACTACAGGACAATGTCGGTGGAGTGATCACATCTCAGCAACACACAAGGAAGCTACTCATTCGCCAACCTCAACCGTGGACAATATTGTATTGTGGCCACTTACCCCGATGCAAGATACACACCCAGTCCTACAAAGCAGGCTGACAACGTGTTTGTCAATGGCAAGTTCTGTACCAAGGTTCCTCCATCAAACACTGCCGCCAACCTTGGACTTGACAAGGGAACCACATACCAACTGAGCGGACAGCTCCGAGCCAGCCTATTTGGACAAACCTCTCAGGAATGTTCAGATGCAACTCAGGTATCCAAATGGAACTGTGATCAGCACCATCACCAACGCCAACATCACCTACACCTTTGATGATTTGTTGCCAGGTCAATACTGCATCTTTGGATCAAAGAGAGGATTCAAGCCAAGTGTCCCAGGCCAGTACAGCGTATATTACTCTGATGGAAAATACTGCACGACCGTCCCTCCATCCATCGCCAATGCTCACTTTGGTAAGATAGTCAAACACTGACCCTCCATCACTCAATCATTCAATCAATCAATCAATCACTGACCCACCCGATCAATCAATCAACAAATTATAGCAATGGTTGGCAATGAGACATTCCGTATTGGTGGATATATGTTCATTGATAAGAACAATGATGGAGTGATGGACAAGAAGTCATTACTGTACGATGTTCAACTGGATTTGTATAGTGATGGCAGCATATACATATCCAAGAAGAATACCTTTGCAACTTATACATTCGATGATCTGAGAGCTGGTGAATATTGCATCGTCGCATCATATCCCAATGGAAGCTACATCCCCGGTCCATTCATGAATGACAACAAGTTCAACAATGGCAAGTTCTGCACGACCCTCCCACCCAACGAGGACAATGCCAACATTGGAATGATCGCCGCTGAGACGCTTACAATCCAAGGAAACGTGTTCAATGATGTCAACAATGATGGCAGGCTCAACATGGCCAATCTGCTGAATGGAGCAACTATTGATCTTCAAAATCAATATGGTGATAGCATACACCTGTTGGACAATGTGACTGGATCGTACTCATTCACGATACCCCGTGGCAACTATTGTATATTTGGACGGTACCCTAATGACACCTACATCCCTATCAATCACTTTGGTGACAACGTGTTTGATGCCACTGGAAAGTATTGCTTTGCCATACCTCCATCCAACACTGCTGCACACTTTGGTATGAAGCTTGCGCCCAGGTATCAATTGGCTGGCATTGTTTGGGACGACAGTCAGGGACAACAGGGCAGGATTGACACCAACAACCTGCTGACATATGTACGAATGGAGCTACAATACCCCAATGGCTCGATGGTCGGTCTTGACAATGTCGTGAAAGGAGCGTATTTGTTTGACGATCTCAAGCCTGGGCAATACTGCATCGTTGGCACAAAGGATGGATATCTTCCAGGTTTCTTCAAGAATGACAATGTCTTTGAGAATGGCAAGTACTGCACAACATTGCCTCCATCAAACACCGCGGCCAACTTTGCAATGATGAAGATACCCACCTAGACATTGAGTGGCCAGATATGGGACGACAGAGATAACAAACTGGGCATTCTGGACACCAAGGCACTTCTGAACGGTGTTCGCATGGTACTCAAGAAGGGTGATGGCTCAGTGGTCAATACCATTGATCTAGCCAATGGCTCCTACGCCTTCACTGGTATCCCCTCAGGACAGTACTGCATCTTTGCCTCCAAGGCTGGATTCCAACACAGTGTCACAATGAATGACAACGTGTTCAACAAAGACACAGACAGTTATTGCACCACTGTACCTCCATCAAACACCAATGCACACCTTGGTAAGTATCAATTAATCATTGAGCTCAGCATATGTACATCAAACCCTAATCAATCAATCAATCAACCGAGTAGCAATGGTTAGCAACACGACATTCAGTATCGAAGTATACTTGTGGAATGATAAAACCAACGATGGTGTACTTAACAAGAAGTCAAGTACATATAATATTATGATAAAGTTGCTTAGAGGCAAGAACTTTGTCATGGAACACTCTCGTACATCTGGATACTACAAGTTTGAAGACGTGGATTCTGGTGACTACTGTTTATATGGCACGTCACCCGATGGCCTATTTGCACCTGGTGTAACCATGAATGACAATGTCTTTGACAGCAATGGCACCTATTGTCTATCATTGCCACAGCCTGGTTCAACCAACAGGAATATCATTGCCAACTCTGGTAAGTCATATCAATCTTCAACATCGTTGTCATCATCTCCAATCATTCTAACTCATTCATTCATTCGTTGTACCAATAGGATGGGTCAAACTAACTGCACCATAGGACCATCAACCATTCAACCAACCAATCAACCAACCAACCAATCAATCAATCAAATATTAAACATAGACGTAATTAATGTATAAAACCTTTCGGTTAACTTTATTGTTATATTCTTGTTACAGCCAATCGATCCAACATGTGCAGTGAGTGTAGGATTGGATAGATCTCGGAGGAGGAGACATATATTGGGTAATATGTCCCAACCCGACCGAGAGCTATCTCATCCTTCCCCCCGGGAAGAAGGTATGAGACCAGGGCTCTTATTGTTGACTTCTTCTCTTGAACCACCTGTCGACATCGGAGACGTAACGAGTATATGTGGGTAGGCGTTGCGAAGCTAACGGGAAAGCATCCCAACTCTTAAAAAGAGTCGGCGATATAGCGCGGTATGGGTAACCACGTAGGCTGCACTGTTGTATTGTGCTCCATATCCCAGTATGATATGTTTCTCCTATTAAACGGGAATACACGTTTGTTGTGTGTATTTGTTCCCAGCTAACGTTGACAGTTATATAATATCAGATTATACGACCGGCTATGCAGACAAGTACTTCGACATAATACTCTATTCTCTTCTATCTGTACAAGCACTAAAAAATTGGAAGTGACTTCTTGTGCTCAACTTTCATTCTTTTTGTTTGTTTGTGTTTCCTCTCTCTTCGAACCCCTAAGGTCCAACAAAATATTAATAATTTAAATACCTTTAAATATAAACCGAAGTACTGATTGATTATACACATATTTGATAGGTCACACCAATGGATGGAAGATGGTTGGAAAGGTAATCAATGTATTACAACACCTTTATCAATCAAATTCAATCAATTTTAATAATAATCCCATTAATGGTTGATTGTTAATTGATTGGATTGTAGTTATACACTTTTGAGTGATATTGGAATCAAGGTCTCTTAGCAGCACCAATGCAAATTATCATTAAGATCATAATCACGATCTTGTTTGCTCGGTTCGGTCGACCATCAAGAGATCTGTCCTAGGGAAAGATCTAGGGTTCACCCTTTTTAAGTAATATATTACCTGTTACCATGTCATGCCACTACAAACAAAGCCAAACCAAGGGCCATGGCTTCGATTGAATCTTGCCTTACCTATCAACGATCCCATCGATCAATTAAAGAGATTACTACATGATTGGGAAGTGAAGTGGAAGAAGTCGAATGCATTTTTGTTTGAGGGGCTGCTGTTTATTCCTGTCATAATGAATGTCTTTCATCAATTGCGACACTGATGTTTAGTTGTCAGTGACGACCTTGGTCTTGAGACCCTATAATGTTTGATTGAGATTGATTGATTAAGTTAGTACGGAGCTATGAGAGATTGTAATGATTGTGAATGTCAAAATATTCGCTGTCCAGTAGTCGCAAGTCGAGTCGGTCATGTTCATCGTATCAATGTCATTCTTTTGTGTCTGTTTATCTGTATGTGATCGATCGCTTTATCGCATGAACATGTCGAGTACTGCTGCTTGATGATCGTTATAATACGCACCTTGAAGGACTTGGTGGCAACGAATGTGGCAAGAGTGTAGAACTTCTCTCTGGCGTTCTCGTCCTCGTTTCTCTTTCTGGAGAGGACGACGCGAATTCTGTGGGGAACGTTCTTGATACCCTGGGACCAGAGCAAGCAGTTCAGCTTGTTGTCAATGCGAACATCCTTGGTGCTCATGGCCTTCTGGGCGAACTGTCTGACCTGCTTGACGGCCTTTGGGGCTCTATCCTTGAAGGAGCTATATATTGGTGGGACATATCGTGTCAATCATCATCATCCTGTATCTGTATCATCTCTGTCGTGTTGCCTGTATTGTCTCTATCCTGTCTTGCCTGTCCTGTCGCAAGATTGATTGATTGAATGATTGATTCATACCTTCCCAAGAGTCTGCTCTTAAGGTTGATGGTGTACTCGCGGGAGATTGGTCCCTGCTCGGCTCTGGTGGTGGTCTTCTTGGTCGACATTGTGTGATATGATAGGAGGTTAACGCGCAAGTGGTGAGTGGCAAACGATTGATATCAGTAGCTTGTATCCATTCAGCGTTGGTGTGTTGGGTATCCTCGAGCGAGGAGTCTGTCCACACTCCACAAACTTCCAAAAAAAAACAAATAAATTGAAATAAATGTTTAGTTGTTTCACACACCTTTCAACAATTGAAAAACGTTACCACATGACAACCCCTCATTCTCTCTCATTCCAGTTCACACATTCATTCATTCATTCACCTATTCTCTAATTCTGGTCAATGAGGATAATATATGTTAATGTATATATATACACACCATATGTTATATATTATTATTATTATACATTATTATTAATATTATTTATTGTGATTGATTTACAGAGGTGTCGTGGTCACAGACACTGGTGATGTGGTTGACGCTGGAGGTAATGGCCCCTGCCACATGTATAGTTGTTTTCCACCGACTTTAACAGACTTGGCTATTAGTCCGAGACTCTCGAGGATGTTGGCAATATCATAGAGTCGTTTACAACGTGCTGGCATGGAGCCAAGACCAAGCTCATCCCTGGCATCAACAATACTGAGAACTGGTCTGCTCACAAATAGGCAGACAAGACGATGGCATAGGTTGGTGAACGATGTCTTGTGTGGCTGTTGGTCTGGTGGCGCATCAAATACCTTGGTCTGGACTGCTTGGGCAATATTGTTCAGTCCTGTCCAGTAATACGTGTCACGGACTTCCTTTCGCACCACTCCAAAGTACTCCATAATGCTCATTATCTCGTATAGACGTCTCTTGGTCACCTTAATCTTCTCGACCAGCCTACGGATGTCAACGTACTGCCCTGACGGCGCATTTCGATACTCTCCAAGCAACGTATCAGACATCTTCCTCAATGATAGGCTGGGTTTGGGTGGTTGGATCTCGGCCATTGAAGGGTCGCTTCCAAGTTGTTTGGCGGTAGGCCTAGGAGACATCTCATCCAAGAACACCGGTAGATTGTCGGATTGTGGTAGTTGTTGTAGTTGGGGATGTTGATTGTAGTATTTATAAGGGTGATTGTTAATGGCGGTACTGGTAGTTGAAGTTATAGTTGGTGAAGTTGATTGAACGTAGGTGTCGGGTGATGTCATTTGGATCGGAGACATTTGGTCATAATCAAATGGTGACGATATTATTGAGGATGAAGAGGATGATGGAGATGAAGCCCATGATGAAGGTGATTGAATCTCAGGTTGATTATAAATGAAATCCAAGTTGATGGACTCAAAGTTCAATTGTAATTGATGATTGATATTATTAATGTTAATAGTATTATTATTATTATTGTAGGTATTATTATCATTTACATTAAAATAAGACATTGTATTATTATAGTTATTAATATTATTAGTATAGTAATCAAACGAAGTATGATTATATGAGATGATATTGTTGTTGTTGAGGTCTATATTTCCATCTTCATTATTAATATTAATGTTGTTGTTGTTATTGGGATCCATGTTATATTTAAAGAGTGAACGTTGTTTGTTAAGATTGAATGAGTGAATGAACGATTGTATGAATGATTGAGTGAATGAATGAATGATATAGAGTGATTATCAATGGACATGTTCAAAGTTTATTCACTCGACCATCTAACAAACTAATGTTTAGTAATGAGGGCTCTTTGAAACGGTTGAAATAGAAATCAATGTATAATTCTTAGTGCATACAGGCAACAACACTTGTGTGTTGCCTTTATTGAAGTGCACTGCAATGTTTGATCAAAGGTGGTGGTGATGGTTGGCAGAGTCCTGTAGCATCCATTCATCTGTATGAAGTGTTGATGGTTTACATCATCAATATTTGATTGGAGTGACGTGTTGGATGGGCCACTCATCCCCCCTCGACCATCAATCAATCAACCAAGACTGTCTTTGTTGTTAATGAGGGAATGAATTCTCGTCGGGTTTGGCCCTTCGTTTGCCAGATTGAAAAATGTGTGGTTGATTGTTCTGATGAGGTGGTGGTCGAGAATGATGAAGGTGATGGATAATGTGGCTTTAGCCATCACACTCGTCCTTTGGGCACTAGATTCCCAAAGGACCGGCCTGTTACGTCATCAAATCAAAACATTACCAGATCATGACCACAACGAGTGAGATTTTATTTGACAACACAGTTTGTTACGTCATCAATCACTTCCTCTTTTTGGCAAGTTTGAACGAGTGAGATATTTAGGCTGACGTGTCACGCTAGAGATACAAACAACTAAAGTCTTACTTTGAAAATCCAAAGGGATGAGGTGATCATTTGAGAGAGAGAGAGAGAGAATGAGTGAGTGAGTATGATTGAATCAGTAAGTGTTGGTTTATGTTATGTTAATGGGCATTATCAATGATCTAAGAGTTTCCTCATTCTAAAGGCACTGGAGGTGATGGTGGACATCATCAAGGATGGCCCATTCGACATCTTCAAAGAAGTTGCTTTTACACAAAGTGGTGTGTGTCCAACTTACAAAGAAAGATAATCAAGAAGACTGTGCTCGGCATCCCCGTGAAAGTTATGATGTAAACTATTTAGTTATATTTTTATTATCTTTGATATCTGTGATGAAAGTTGTTGATGGCATTGATGCGCCACCAAGCCATGTGTACATTTGTTTGGTACCCACCTTCTCCGGTTTGGAGAGCAGGCCAAGACACACTAGTATGTTGGTAATATCATACAGTCGTTTGCATGGTGCTTGTTTGGCGCAGAGATGCAGTGATTCTCTGACGTCAACCATGCTGGTAACACGTCTGTTAAGGAACAGATTGACAACCTGGTGACATAAAGTTGTGATTGATGACACCTTGGTTCCGTAGGGGTCCACCGCAACAGCGGTAACTGACGGCTGTGGGACTCCAGCACTGGCAAGTGCTTGTGAAAGTTGTTGGATTGCCTTGATCGAGGCGCCAATGTTATCAAAGCCCAGCCAAAAGTAGGTGTCGCGCACCTCCTTGCGTACGACTCCAAAGCACTCCATCACGTTCATGATCTCGTAGAAGCGGCGCTTGGTCACTTGGAGACGGTCTACCATTCTTCCAATGTCGATGTACATCTCTGGCTCAGCGGTGCGATACTCATCAAGGAATGCCTCGGTAATACTCTTGAGTGTTCGCGAACATTTTTGTTCTGCGGTGGCCAATTCTTTGGATGCAACACTGGCTGGCGATTTGGGGGAGTAGGGGGATGTCACTTGTTTCTTCTTCTTAGTCGGCGCGAGAATAGGAGTGACGGGGTAGGGGGATGACGGGGTCTCTGGCTGGGATAGCTCGGTGTCACTTGTCATGCTCGTGGTCGACATAGGTGACATAAAAGGTGATTGTGGCTGGAATGGCGATGACATTTGATATGGGCACATTTGATCCACCAACGTTGTCGTAGTTGTTGTCGTTGTTGTCGTTGTTGGTGGAGTAGATGGATGGTAATAATCAATTGATGCCAATGGAATGCCACTTGTGAATACATCCGAGGTATGAACAGAACCCAATATCAATGGGCTGGACAATGGCGAGGGCGAGGGCGAGGGCAAAGGACTACCAGGGGTAGGTGTGGACGCAAAGGGGGAAGACGTCGGTGTAGGGTCAATGTCCACTTGGACATCGTCAGTGAACGGGATGGGGGAGGATGGCTCGAGAAGCCAAGGCATTGGCAATGGCTCAGGGCATAACTGATCAATCACATCATCAGTAGTGATTGTTGAAGACGATAAAAATATCGATTGATTAATATTATTAAAAATATTATTACTATTATTATTATTATTATTATAAGGATTATAATAATGTGGATTATCCATGTTATTGTTGATGTTGTTATTATTAATGTTGAAAGGTGATTGCAGTAGGTAGTCTAGATTGAAAGAGTCAATGTCAATGTCCAAGAATGTATTGTTGTTGTTGTTGTCAATTGACACCCCAAACTTCTCGCCTCCATCACTCGACCTGCTCATCATCATCATCATAGTTGCCGCTGGAGCACTTATGTGATGATGGTCAGCAGTTGGACTTGTGGACGGGGCAAAAGTTGTTGTTGGGGTGTCATTAGTAATTGTTGCATAAGTGTCAGTATAATCCATAATGAGTAATAACTTAAACACTGATCAGAAGTATTTATAGCAAAAGTTGTTGCACACTCATCCAGCAGACGACACTTGAGAATTGTACAAGAATTTGAGCATAAATTAAATGGCACTATGCCAAAGTGAACTTAAGTTGAGTTGGTTGAGTTGGTCGTCGCACCAGCACGATGACTCCCTATGGAGGGGCCACGACCGGCACAGCATGCGTAGTCTGAGAAAAAGAGAACATGTCGGGGCCGAGATGAGGGAAATGATCGACTCACAGTGATTTTTTGATCAAGAGGGCACCCCAGGTTTTACCAAAAAAGGCCCTCATTTGGTCACTTTTTCACAATCAAATCGGAACTCCAGTGCGGATCACACAAACTCTGATCGTTTATATGATTGTCATGTGTGCCATGGCACGCACCTCTCCATTGGTCAATCGATTATTTGATTGATTATGAACAAAGAGTGAAAGATCATGTGTATTTCGTTCAATCATCTTAGATCTTCATCGCAATCCGTCGACATCATCCTTGATCATTATCATCATCATCGTCATCCGTACAGAAGGTTGGTGAGTTGAGCCGACTTCTCATTACCGCCTGTAGTACTAAAGTACGTGATGCCGATGGCGGTGTAGTCTCCGTCGAGCACTTCGATGCAGAGATGTCCCTTGTAGGTGAATGATCGCTCTTGACAAATGCCCAACTCGATCGGTGCTCCTTTGCGAGCGCCGCGACGCTTCTGTGCACGAATGGTCACTGGCCTCGACGACTTGTTCCTGATGGTCAGCCAGCCGGGCACGTAGCCGCTGAACAGGCCGGTGGCGGAGCGCGGCCACGTCACAAAGTAGTTGTCCTTAGTATATACATGTGTGCCGTCCTCGCTGGCCAGCTCGGCGCCACGCTTCTTCTGCACCTGCTCCTGCACTCCAAAGATCATGCCAAAGTAGTTCTTGACGCCCTTGACAGCATCGCCAATCTTGCCCAGGCCATAGTTGGGTCGCGTGGCAAACACCTGGCCATTCTGGCCGTCCACAAAGAAGCTGTAGGTCTTGTCTTCAAAGTTGTAGCTGGCGTGATAGAATGGCACGTAGTAGAGTGTGGCAAAGCAAGAGAGGAACTGTACATTGCTGCTGACATTGTCAATGTGTGGCGTCTGCTCCTGATTGACGAGGTAGGCCAGTGCATTGGCCTGCTCCTCCACCTCGATGCGACTCTTGTGGCGAGCCCACACCACCTCCTCGACAACGCGCATCGCCTCATTGGCATTCTCCTGATGTAGACGTATCTTGAAGTCGCTGACAGACACTGCATCCACATTGTTAAAGTCAAAGAGTACGCGAATGTCTTGGTACTCTTGCCAATCGATTGAGTTGGACGCGCATAGAAAGATGCGATTGACCGTTCTCGTGATGAAGCCTTGTTCGCGTGCCTTTGTTGGTGGTCGCTTGCTTGGTAAGATTGCAGCGGTGGCAACTGACGCCACAGATTGTTGTTGTTGCTGTTGTGATGGTGTTACTGAGGGGATGATCAGTTTGCCATTGTTATTCGTCGGTTGTATCCAATTGTCATTATAAGATACATTGCCCTGGAAGTATACATTGTACACCGCTCTGAAGCTGTAGAATGGTATATACAATTTCTGAAGTGTATCAACTCCAACTTGTCTCTTGAATCTTGAATATGTTGTATTTGTTAGGTCAACTCAATCAATCATCACTTGTCAATCACTGTCAATCAATCATTATCAAACATACCCTGTTGGTGTGAACCATAGACCATTGAGCCATTCTTCGTAGAGCTTGGTGGCATTGTCCATGCTGATACCAAAGTGAGCCACTCTTGTTATGTTGTCCTTGACAATTGATTGTTGTTGTTGTTGTTGTTGTTGCCCGTATGGTGAAGACATTGGTCTATACTCTTGTAATGGATCTACACCACCATTACTCTTTGGTGAGTATATCTGTAAACTCTTTAAATCATAATCATTATTGTCTATCTTATTATTATTGTTATTATTATTATTGATATTATTGAGTATATCATCCAAATCATCATTATCTCCAACAACTATATCTTGTTGTTGTTGTTGTTGTTGTTGTGATGTTGATGGTTTGAGTGCTGGAGGAGCACTTGGTTGTGGATACATCCTTTATCTATATGTCTAATCTTATCTCTATAATATATACAAGTAATAATATTGATTCAAATATCTATCACATTATTTATAAGTTTGTGTTTGATTGATGACTGAGTCATGATAAAGTGTTGTCAACAAACTTGAACATTCAATTCATTCCATCTCAAAGTCCACAACATCAACACAACTTGTGTGTTCGGCGAATCCAAAAAGGGAAGTTGCAAAGATACAATATTCAATCTTGAAGATACAAGTGTTATAACTATAAACTTGAGATAATAAACAGTATAGTATAGGATTGAATAGATGATAGACTTGGATAGCAATAGATATTCAGTGCAACAACAACAGTTGATGAACAATAATATATTTGATAGATATGAGACTTACAAATTGTTGAGCTTCAAAGAGGACAGTTGGAGGAATTACAATCAATTGTATCCATTCCCAAAGAGACATATAATACTAATACTCTACAGTCTAGCAAGAGAATACAAGTTGAGTTCAATCAATGTACATTATGCTGTGTGGTATGGTCTTAGTCTAGTCTTGTCTAATGCCATTGATTGAATGATTGAATGATTGAATGATTGTTGAGGTATACCTGACATTCCTTATTCATAATATAGTTTATTACAGAGATATATTGGATTGAAGGATATCAACAAGAAGATTGTTGCGACTCAGGCCCAAGATGGTAAGGCCACAACAGAGACATCCGAGGATGTTGACATCCAAATGGCTATATGTGCCCTGATCCTATCTTGTAAGGTGGGTATAACATCTACCATTGTTACCAACACATCAGCTGACTGACACATGATTGATCAACCTAGATGAATGAGTCACAAGTGGACCAGAAGGACATACTCACCAGACTGGCCGCAACATACTTCTCAAAGGGCTCGTATGTTACAATGGAACAAGGTATGTTGTATTCGATTGATGTATGAGTGACAAGGACAAGTTGATTGTTTGACACAACATGCTGCATAACAGAGTTCATGGAGGTCATTAGCAACTATTTGAGAATACCATTGGTTGATGAGGTCGTGGCATTGTTGCTCCAATCATACTTCCCTGGTGACGAGAGACTCAACAACATATGTCAACAAGTACTTGACTTTATATACTTGCAACCAAGAAACTTTCTCGAGCACTCATTCACATTGATCGCACTAGGAGTGATCTCTGTTGCCTATGCAATTATGTTACGTACGACCACTGTCAAGCTTATACGATGGGGTATGTATATCATGTCAAGCTACAGAATGTCCTCGTCGTGAGGTCATCAGTCACTAACAATCATTGTATATCTTTCTTTGATTTCTTTGATCTAACATACCAAGCGTCACTAGTCTCTGACTATCCTCAGCAAGTGATCACCAATGAGATCGGGAGGATACTGATGGTATTGTTCAAAGGCAACAATGTGGTCATGTCATTCATGAGCCATCCCTAGCCTGTTGAGACCACCATCCCATGCTCAGAATTCTGAGCGACCTTTGCCAAACTCTTTCACTTTCAACACATTTCCAGAATGACTGGAACATTATTTAAATGGTACCTTGACAATCAACCAACATCATCAATCAATCAATCAAAGACATATCAATCAATCAGACATATCAATCAATCAGACATATCAAACAATCAGACATATCAATCAATCAATCAACTTTATATAATAATATCATCAAAAATGACTGCCAACAACAATAATGAGATATCATCAGACCTTTTGGTCGAGCAAATAGGATCCATCACACTGTCCAACAACAACTCTGATCAAGCCATTGATATCAAGATCGCCAGGAAGATCCAAAGAATGGAGAGAAAGGAGATGAAGGAGAAGAACTGTGAGAAGAGGGTCAAGAAGATCAAGAATGAGGAGAACAAGATGGACAAGACCGACAAGAAGGTCAGAGTCAAGAGGGAGAAGAAGCCCAAGAGTGAGGACAAGTTGGACAAGACGGACAAGAAGGTCAGAGTCAAGAAGGACAAGAAGAACAAGGACTCCCAGGAACAAATAGTCCAAGAGGTGATCACTGTTATGAAGGAGCCAATCAAGGACCTGAAGGAGGACCAGATGGATGACAAGAAGGAAGACAAGAAGATGGACAAGAAGGACAAGAAGGACAAGAAGGACAAGAAGGACAAGAAGGACAAGAAGGACAAGAAGGTCAGAGTCAAGAAGTTGAAGTGGAAGAGAGAGATCAAGAGAATTGTGGCCGAACATCCAGTCGGTACATCTATACCCATTGCTGAGATTAGGAGCAGACTACTTGAGGTTCAGATGGCCAAAGTGGAGAAAGCCATCAACAAGGCTGTCAACAAAAAGATGTTCAAGGATTCCAAGAGATTCATGATCACTCCTCAAGGTGATATCAAGGTGCTTCCCAAGCGTACCCAAGACCAGTAGTCCTTCATCAACAACTCACCAACACATTCAATCATTCAATCAATCAACAACGTTCAACATTCAACAACATCAAACAATGATGTCAATGATGTCAATAACATCCTCAACATGTTGATCCAATAAAGTCATGTATATACTTGCCATACTCTTCTCTTACCCTTATCCTTGTCTACCCCTGACCATTACCTAAGCCTGCCCCGACTGATGCCTAAGCGTGACTTCAGACATCTACCCTGCAATGTCATGGCACTGAGCCACCTAAACGAACGAATGAATGAATGAATGAATGAACAAAGATGAATGAGTTGTTTGTAAGACATTGATGGAACTGTCGCTACTACGGTTTATGTTGAGATGATTTGGAAACTAAAGAGGATGTTTAGATTCTGTTCTTCTCGACGTACTCCATGAGGAACTTGTACTCCTCGGACTCCTTTCCGAAGGTGTTGATGGCAACGGAGGAACAGGCAACAATCTTACGGGCAGTAGCCTCCTTGTCGAGCTTGCAAAGACCGGCCCACTCGCCCAACTTCTTGGACTCCTCGACGGTGATCAAGGGGATGGAGTGCTCGGCGCAGAGAGCCTTGATCAAGCGAACGTAGTTCTGCTCGTCACAGTCGTCGGCCAAGATGCACAGACGGGCGGATCTCTTGTCGAGGGCCTTGACGACCTCGTGGAGACCACGAGAAAGACCGCAGACGGAGAGGGACTCCTTCAAGACCTTGTTGAGGGCGACCATTGGGTCAGTGACCTTCTCCAATGGGTTGGTGATAGCTGATACAACATCTCCTTCAGACATATTTGATTATCGTTTGTTTGGGATTGAATTCCTTACTGTTATTGTTGGTTCATTGTTGTATTAGTATCCTGTATCTTTCATTTATCTTCATTCATTCATTCATTCATCATCCATCCAATGATCAATGTATCGTTGGCTATCCTGTGTCGCTATGAATCTAATGATCCTGATATACTGTCGATTGGATGGATGTGATTATAAAGTAGATATACATACATGAGTAACAGACTTGGTTATTGCAAACTGATTCGAGATAAGAGTGCAGACGAAGGATTTGAGCGAGAGGGAGAGAGCGTGTGAGGTAGCTCGTGAGAGAGGATAGATGTGTTTTTGAAAAATTGAATTTAAATCATTTATTTGAAACTGAATGATGATGGTCACGTTATCAGATTAGATCACTTCCCGCCAACCCTTTGAATGATGAACACTCAACTCAAAGTGGCATTGACATCAAGTTCATTCAAACGCCTACAACTATTAAATTACAATACAACATAACAGACTTTATATATATATTACTTATATCTTCATTCATTCATTCAAGTATGTTGATGACCATCAATCAATCAATCAAACATGTCGAACTCACTCACTCATTCACTCAATCAATCCAATCAATCAATGATTAGATATACATAGACTGAATCAGTATTGTTAAGAAGGATGGCAAGCTTCTTGGGTGACCCTGAGATGATTAGAAAGTTCAGGGAGAGATTGTCATTGGAGGATGATGGTATATTTGTAGATGATGACGATGATCCAACAGTCAATCCAAAGGAATATGAACATTACAAGAGTGAATTGGCAGCTGGAAGAATAGATGCAGATGGTAACTCAACAAGTGCCACTGCCAACAACAATAGTAATAGCGAGGAGGAGGAGTTTGAAAGACAGGCACAGGAAGCATTGCGAATCCAGGAGGAGAGGAAGAGACAGATGGAGGCGGAGATGCAGGCCGAGTTTGATCGATTGGAACGTGAGGCAAAGAATCAGCCAGAGGAGGACGACGACCAGGAGGAGCGAAGGAGAGAGGTCGAGGAAAAGGCGCGTCAGCGTCGCGAGGCTATTGCCAACCGAGGAAAGAAGCCTTCTGCCAACGCCGCCAGCGCCGCAAAGAGTGATGAGGATAAGAAGTTGTTGGAGAAACAGAAGAAACGCGATGAGGAGCGTGAGCTGATGAAACAGAAGATCACTGCCGCCGCCGCCACAACGAATGATCATCCCGAGCAGCAACAGCAGCAGTCCAATCATTCGTCTGGTGCAAAGCAAGCGCAACAGGGAGACGACCAGACCACACACAACGCCACACAGGAGCAGGAAGAGACATCCAAGCCAATCGACGACGATGCAGAGTTTGAGCGCGCTGCCCAGGAGGCCAAGCGCATCCAGCTTGAGCGCGAGAGGAAGATGAAGGAGGAGATGGACAGAGAATTCGCCAGACTCGAGTCTGAGGGCGTGGCTGTCGTCGATGAGGAGGAAGAGGCCCGCAAGAAACAGGAGGAGGCACGTCGACGAGTACAACAGCGACAACAAAAGATGATGGCTGGTGCCAAGAAAAAGACGCCAGAGGAGGAGGAGAAGGAGCGCCAGCGTCTCGAGAAGCAGAAGGAGCGCGACCAAGAGCGTGAGACCATGAAGAAGCAGATGAGCCAGAAGAAGCAAGAGGACACCGTCGTCAGCGAATCATTACCTGAGATCAGTTCACACGAAGTTGTGCTCCCGCCAGTGATCACTGCCCCAGCCCCCGCCCCAGTCCCAGCTCCAGCCCCAGCTCCAGCACCAGCCCAAGAGGAATCAAAACCCATTGAGAATGATGACGAGTTTGAAAAGGCAGCCAGAGAGGCTGAGCGATTGTTGCAGGAGAAACAGAGGAAGATGCAGGAGGAGTTGGATGCAGAGTACGCACGTCTGGAAGCCGAGGGTGTTGGCATGGTCGACGAAGAGGAAGAGCGCAGGAAGCAGGAAGAGACTCGCAGGCGAGTACAACAGCGACAACAAAAGATGATGGCTGGTGCCAAGAAAAAGACACCAGAGGAGGAGGAGAAGGAGCGTCTGCGTCTCGAGAAACAAAAGGAGATGGATCAGCAGCGCGAGTTGATGAAGCAACAGATGAAGCAACAGAAACAACAGGCCTCCCATCATGATGGCGACGATGCACCCAAGCAAGAGGCGCCCAAGCAACCTGCACCTACGCCAACACCCGCCGCTCCAACCCCAGAGCCAGCACCCGTTGCGGCAGCGCCAGCACCACACGTAGATGATGACCAAGAGTATGAACGAGCAGCGGCAGAGGCTTTGAGACAGCAACAGGAGAAACAGAGAAAGATGGAGGAGGAGCTGGCCAAGGAGTTCGCAAGATTGGACGCAGAGGGAGGAGCACCGGTTGAGGATGAGGAGGAGACCAAACGCAAGCAGGAGGAGTCAAGGAGACGCGTACAGGAGCGACAGAGGAAGATGGCAGCTGGCGCCAAGAAGGCGACGACGCCAGAGGATGAGGAGAAGGAGCGACTGCGATTGGAGAAGGAAAAGGAGCGTGACCAACAACGCGAGTTGATGAAGCAGCAGATGAACAAGAAAAAGGTGGAGGTCGAACCAGCGGTGGTGCCAGCGGCGGACGACGAGCAGGCAAGGGAGGCCGCCGAGGCCAAGAGACAGGCAGACAGGCAGCGAGCACTTGAGGAGCAGATGCAGAAGGAGTTTGAACGATTGGAGCTAGAGCAGAAGAATGCAGGCGTCACGACGTCCAGCTATCAGGATGAGGAGGCAGAGCTGGAGCTGGAAATGAAGAGAAAAGAGGAGGAGGCAAAGAAGCGAGTTCAGCAGCGCAAGGCGGCAGCGGCAGCGGCCACATCAAAGAAGACGCAAGAGGATGAGGAGAAGGAGCAACAGCGTCTGGCCAAGCAGAAGGAGCGTGACCAACAGCGCGAGCTGATGAAGGGGCAGTTGAAGAAGATGGGCACACATGACACAATGGGAGCCGACGAAGACTTCCCCTCTACCAGTCCTCCTTTGAATGGCGTCCGTGGAGCTCAACAACCTGCACCAACCACGACAACGACCAGTACCACGACGACCACATCATCACATTTACAACAAATGTTGCCATCTCAACAGCCTCAATATCAGCAACAACAACAGCAACAACAGCAGCAGCAGTATTATCAACAACAGAATGCGCCATCGACACCTGGTCACATGCCAATGTACTACCAATCACCTCATCAATCGCCCTATCACAACCAACACCAGCAGCCACAACCAGGGCAGCATCAATACTACATCCCACAGCCAAACTTCTACCAGCCCAATGCCATGTACACCCAAGAGGATGTTGACCGCATCGTCGAGGCAACAAGGAAGGAGATACTTAAGCAGGTAGCGTATCACTCACTCACTCACCTCACTCATTCATTCATTCACCTAACTGACACTGTCCACTTGGTCCTATTAGGCATCAGACGAGAGTGCTATACTTGCCATTGAGCTGGAGGACATGCAGATCAAACACGACAAGGAGGTTAGGAACTGCGCACTGATGAAGACGGTGTTGGTGCAGTATCAGGCAACTATGCAGAGCATGATTGATCAGCCCGCACCAGTGCCCCAGAACAATGCCAAGCTGACAGAGACACTGATGGAGAATGACAATCTGAGGAAGGAGCTCAAGGAGAGCAAGGAGAACGTGGCGCGACTGAGCAAGGATCTCGATCTTCAAAACTCGCGATTCAACGCACTCAAGGCACATGCCGAGCAGAAGCTAAACAGCGCGTCCGATCAGCTCATGCGACTTAAAGACATGGCTGCCAAGGAGGTGGCGGTGCTCAACGCCAAACTGAACAAGACAGAGGTTCGACTCAATGTCAAGGAGAAGGAGAACGAGGAGTTGGGCAGGCTATGCGACGACCTCATCGTCAAGTTGCAACGACAGTCCGACTAGGCAAGACTAGACTAGACATTCGGAAGTGATCACTTCCACTCTCCACTTCCACTTCCACTTCCTGTTCCTGTTCCATCCACCTTGCATGGCATGGCGTGTTGTGACCAAGAGTGATGGATAGATGGATGGATATGCATCGCATCAGAGCGGGCAATGAAATTATATTGTAATATAATATATATATACACACTTACCAAATCAGGATCAATTGACTTGTAACCTTCCTAAACTGTCCACAATTACCTAATATAGTAGTAAGGGGGTACCCATGACCCCCCGTTTGCACTTCATGCTTGTCTCTGACTTTAGGGTAACACATTCATTCTTTCATTCATTCATTCATTCATCCATTCATTCCCCCACATACATATAAATATAAACATAAAGAGTCACAGATTAAGAACAAGAAGAATAATGATGTTATGATAGATACAATGTCAACAAGATGCCAAGACCATGATCAAAGACCAGAATTCCTATGCTTGGATTGTAACCAATTGTTATGTTCAGTATGCTTTGTTAGGCTGCACAAGGGTCATAACTTGGATCATTTGGATAATATAAAGATGAACTTGTCGCAGAAAGACTATGACGCTCTTTGGTGCTCGCCAAGGCTGAACCAACTCTGGAAAACATTGCAACAATGTGCAACATCCTATCAAACACTCGAGAGATTGCGTTCAGAGGTCACTGGACACTTTGAACAACTGATCAAGGTGCTTATGGCACAGGAGCACAAGGTCAAGACTCCAATCAATTCAAAGATGGAGCATATCAAGGCAACAATGAGTCACATTGTAGCAGAGTTAAGAGATATCAACTGTATCATCAACATGTCACATCCAATCAATCATAGTAATAATGAGGAGCAAGATGATGAGACATCACAACTTATAATCGACACTTTCACTAAATGTAAATCAATGACAGAGCTCCTCAACAACTCATTATGTCAGAGTAATGATGAGAAAGATGACCACAAATCACCACTCAATGATGATGAGCTACTGTCAATGATCGACAACCACATTCAACTCACTACTCAGTGGCCATACGGCGACCATTACTCAACATTATTGCGGGAACCTTGTCAAGTTATGATTGACACTAAGAATTTGAAGGATGTCAAGGATATCATTGAATCCAGTTTCACCTTGATCCAACCAGAGTTAAATGCCTTTGACCGTCATATATTCTCCATCTATGAAAATCACTATTCATTGTACTCGTTGGAGACTAAAGAATGGACTCATTACAAGGACCAATTCAATCAGTCATTCAACTCAAACAATTCATTGGTCTTTGCTCGTGGCAATGTCTATGTCTTTGGAGGTGCGGAACCAAACTGCTGCACTAATATCTCACTATCAGAGAGAAAGTTAAAGAGAGTTAAGATTGGCATACTGGAGGGCCAAAATCATGTCTCTGCAGTCTACGATGGTAGCAATAACATCTACCTTTTAGGTGATGGAGCAAGCAAAGTGGTGTGCGTCAACTTGGACACGAGGAAGTTCTCCACTTTTGACCCGATTGGTGTCGACAGTACACAACTGTACTTTTACAACAAGAAGATAATTGTGATATCAAACAACAAAGAAAATAAGAACTGCAATATCCAAACAATGACAACAGATTTTCATCCTACGAAACACATTACCATTGATGGCCAATACTATGCCAGTTGCTTTGATGGAACAACTTATATATACATTCTGACCTCCCAAGGATTTGTCAAATTCTACAAAGCTATTATGGGCGTAATGACAAGTTGCAAGTTGGCCCCCTGTCCAGTCTCTGACACAACAAGATGTTCATTACTATATGACAAACAGTCTGGTGGAATATACTATATTGGTGGCCTGGGTAGAAACTATTTCTACACAACAAAGACTAACAAATGGAGTCCAATCAGTGACACAGATCCTATTAACAGTTGTCCAGCAATCTATAATGGAGCATGTTTGAAGATAGACAACAATAACATATCAATAACATAATCAAATGAAAAGACTAACTACTACTTATAATGTAAATATTGGTTATGTTATGTTATGTACAATGAGCAATTGTTTACCTTTTTCAAGGTTGTCACACTTCATGTGGGTGGGTTTGTGTCTTTTGGAAGGTGAGATGGTTCAGATTGCTGGGATTGTTGATTTTTATTAATTTTATTCAAAGGTTTCACCCACAACCTCTATCCATCTTCACCATCCAATTAGATAGGGTTGACCGCTTTGTCGCTATCTGTCAACCTCTAGATGACACTCAACTTGAGTGTTAACTTACACATCATTAACAGATGCACACATACTAGATAGTTGTAGTAGTATTAGTAATAGTTGGTTATTTATTGTTGTTAATATTCATTGTACATAGATATATAAAATGGAGTGTAAGTACTTGTCATTCTCACTCAATCACTCAATCACTCACTCACTCACAATCACTTAATCAATCATAGGCGATATTATAAATACAGACTCAAACATGGATCATACTCAACAACAAAATGTGTTGATATCCTCTGCAGATGAGAATGAATCTTATTCATCATCTTCGTCATCACCTTTGATGGAAAAGAATAATAGTATTAGTAGTAATAGTAGTAGTGAGAGTTCTGATCAGACAACTCCTCCACCACCAACAACTCATCAAAGAACTAGAAGAGCGTATAAATCCAGGAGTAAAGTGGTGGTCGCTGCCAACTCAGATTCAACTGATGGCAGTAGTAGTGCCAATGCGACCACAACAACAACCGAGGACGAGGAGGACGATGAATACGAATCAACAAAGGGAGAGGATGAGGAAGAGGATGAGGAGGATGAGATCACCTCTCCAATGTCACCATCGGAAATCAAACATTACCTCTCCGATACCGAACCAGAGATCAATCCTTTAACTGGAGACCTTGAGGATGAGGACCACGAAGTTCCTCTAATCAGCATGTTCCAGCGGTTCCTTAATAGGTATGCTCACATGATCAAGTAACACAACACTCCATTCTCACACAACACATACATAACAACAGAGAGGCAATCAAGAGCTTGAAGCATAGACATTCACAACTCAATACCAAGTTGATCCGATTGAGGAGGAAGGTAGTGGACAATGTCAACCTCAAGGAGAAAGGCCAGAGACTAAAGAGAGAGAAGGATAAGATCAAGGAGCTGATAAAGCTCAAGAAGAGTGTAGGTGTATATCCACTCTCACTGGTGTCATTACGCTGACCATACCAACCATCTTACACATACACACACAGGAGTTCAATGACAAGATGAATGCGCCACCATTCCTACGTCTGATGGACAAAGTGGCTTTCACTTTGGGACTGATCGTTTTGTTCACTTCAGAGTTTGTACTGATACGTGCACCTCAGTACATGTATCTATTGTACACTGCACTGGTGATACCATTGATGGTACTACGATTCTTTGACTACCACCGCTCAAAGTACCATTACTTCATGTTGGACTTTTGTTACCTATGCAACTTCCTCTTGCTATTCTACATGTTTGGACATCAGTTATTGCTCGGACCTCTATCCACGCCGTCATTCTTCAAACTGGTGTTTGCGCTGACCAATGGGCCATTGGCATGGGGCTGCATTGTTTGGCGTAACAGTATGGTGTTCCACGACGTTGACAAGCTCACATCTGTGTTCATTCATCTCTGTCCTCCTATCGTGACATATTGTCTGCGCTGGTACCCAATCGACTTCCCACTGGATAATGCCTGTGGCGGACAACCCTGTACACTCTCATTCAAAGATACATTCGTCATTCCCATCGCCCTATACGTTCTCTGGCAAGTCTTTTACTTTGCAAAGACGGAAATCATCGATGAGACCAAGCTGGCCAACGATCAAGACATCATGACGTCCTCTAGATGGATGTCTGTCAGACAGCCACATCCAATTTACAAGATGTTATTAGCCAAGAACATCAATGTCTCGCCAGGTGCAGTACTCATGGGTATGTTATCATCTCTACAAAGATACAACAAACAGTGTTCAATGCTAATACATCAACAAATCAACTTTTTCTAGCCTTCCAACTACTTTATACCCTTGGAACACTGATAACATTGCCATTGTTGATGACATCATTCGTCGCTCATACTGTATTCCTCTTGTTCATCTTTGTGATGGTGTCTTGGAATGGTGCCTGCTACTACTTTGAAGTGTTCAGCGAGAACTACAGCAAACGTTACAAATCGGTCATTGGAGAAAACCTTCAAACATCGTCATCGACCTCGACGTCTTCAACATCGACAACAACTTCATCAACTACTTCAACATCATCATCATCAATGATTACCTGCCACAAGCTGACGATCAAATCTGTATATTCCTTCACCAAGTTCTTTATGGTCTTCTTGATAGCGCTGCTCTTGTTCCTAAAGTTCATTCTCTAGATCAGACCAATGATTAGTCGATTAAAAAGTAGTAGCGCATTCAATCAAATCAATCACAACCGATCATTCTTTCATTCATTTACTTCTTTGGACCTTGATACATGGGGCTCAGCAGAACGACGTATCTTGTTGGATGGTGATCCAACTTGCCACATGATATTGGGAGGCGACACTACTGGTGATGAAGAGTTGGGTGTAGTTGATGGTGAAATGTGAGTTGACGGTGTTGATGAGGTTGATAGAGAGGATGGCGTAGTGGTCGATGTCGCTGGGGCTGTGGCAGTCGAGGACGATGAGAAGTTCTGCATGGAGGAGGATAGGGAGATACTGGTGGAAGCAGAGACGAGGAGCGGGGCGTGGTGCGATAACATCAATGCTGAAATATCCACGCTAGCCTTTTTGCTATGTTTGTTCTTCCTCTTTGCCTTCTCTGTCGTCATGGATAGGTCGTATGCTGAGTGAATAGGCATGCCTGACAAGCCATGGCCAATGAAAGACTTGGAGCTCTTGGGCTGTAGCGTTGGAGGAGTGAGCAGTGTGGTCGAAGGTTCGATATCCCATATCTTGATCGTGGCGTCTAGTCCTCCAGACACGAATCGGGTGAGTGAGTTATGCTTTGGAGCTGTGAGCTGTCTAACGTAGTCATTGTGTCCTCGCAGGACCTTGGTGCAGATTGATGTATGCGCATTCCACACGCGCAGTGTCTGATCATTGGAGCTGGTCACCAGTTTGTCCTCATCAGCAAGGATGGACTCAATCTCATCCTTGTGACCTTTGTATATCTTGGATACCAGGCCATTTGTCAGGTCCCATGCACGAATGAATGAGTCCGATCCACCACTGTATAGCACTCCACTGGTGTTGTTGTAAGAGAGACATGTAACACTTCCCTTGTGACCCTTCAGTGTCTTGGTGAGTGTGCCATTGACCATGTCCCAAATGTTGATCACTCCGTCATAGCCTGCAGTGAACAATCTGCTTCCGTCGATCACAGCTTTGCTCACCCAGTCATTGTGTGCGCTCAATGAGTGTAGGCACTTGAGTGTTCTCAAGTCCCAAATCTTGCTGGTTGTATCACAAGATGTGGATACAGCCAACGTATCCCCAACGCCTCCAATCGCAATCGATAGGATATTCTGCTTGTGACCTGTGAATGTCTTGATCTTCCTGTTTGTTCTTACGTCCCACATCTAGTATGATAATGTTAGACCTATCGCATGGTACCTGGATAAATGGTAGGTTACTTACAATGACAGTACTATCATATGAGCCAGTGAGGACAGTATTACGCTTCATCTCCAGACATGATATCTCGGATGTGTGTTCTTGAAGTGTGGATACGCAGTTCCACTCACTCTCATTACAGTTCCAAAGTCGCAGCGTCTTATCTCTGGAGCCACTGGCAAACACATCATAGTCGCCAATGCCTATGCAGCTTACGCTGTCCTTGTGATTGGACAGTTTCTGGAGATGTCTTCCATCTTCATAGTTCCACACCATGATCGTTCCACTCAGATCGCCGCTTAGTATACACTTTGGTTGATTGTGTATCGCCACACAAGTTATGCCCGCCTTGCTTCCTTTGAGAGTCGTTACTGAGTATCCGTCCCTCTTCTCTGACGAGGTATCAATCACATTGTTGATGGTGGTCTCGAGGTACTCCGGGACATCATGTGACCTCTCATCTCCGGTTTGTGGCGTTTCCTTCCTCTTGATCTGAATGAGCTTTGTATAAATCTGCTTTGCGCCTTCCTTCTCAATCTCAATGTTCCTTCGCATTGATGCTGTGAAATATTTGATGTCTGACTTGTTCTGTTTGTTGAGAGAGTATGAGTAAGTGAATGAGCAAATGAGTGGATGAGTAAGTGGCGATCAAACATACAAATAAGGTCGAGGGTACGGCTGTCTGGAACTCGATGGCTTGTGCTTTGTACATTTTGGTAATGAGCTCGGTAAGTGTTTGTGAGTGTTCATCGCTAAGAGACGTCAGAACGGACATCTTGCTGACGAATCGACCAATCTCCACTGTGGACACCTTGAGCTTAATCATCTGGAGTGAGAAGGCACTCAAAGATGTGAAGAGTATGTCCTCCTCAGTCTCAATCAATGTGCGCTGCTTCTCAGCTGAATGTGTCTCCCAATCATCAAGTGTCTGATCGTTGAACACGCTGCCAAGCTTCTCTCGTCGCAACGACTGCACGGAATCAAAGAATGATGACTCCCAGAAGTGGACATTCTTCCAAAGTGACAGATTGATGAAGTGGTTCTATATGAATGATGTTGGTTTGAAGTTAGTGAATTGATTGAATGAGTGAATGATGGGAGGACGTACATAGAGTGGCTCGAGGTTTGTGTTGTCCTTGTAGTAGAACTCCTTGATACGAATGAGCAGGGTGGAGGCAGTCTTGAAGTCCGCAGACTTGTCGCACTCGTTGAAGATCTTTTTGATGATCTCGACGAGGAGGAAGAGTCGCCAGTTGCCAAATGTGAATGACTTCTTGGAGGAGATGGTCGCCAGTGATTCGACAAAGTAGTGACGACTACGACGGATGGCAAAGATGTTGAAAAGTAAGTTCTGATGTTCCAAGTCCACGGTGGTCGAGCCTTCATCTTCATCAAAGATCAGATCGATGTATCCATCGATAAAGTCTTTCAACACCTCTTGGTCCTCACTCAATGTGATTGAGAGCTGTGCCACTTGACTCTGTTGGTAGTTGGCCAACACAATGGTGGATTGAGGTGAGCTCTTGAAGAGTGATCCTCGGCGGAAGTGACTCTCACTAAGTTTGCTTCCAAAGAATCCATGTTTGAGAGACTCTGTTGCAGTTGTAGTGGACTCTGGTGCAAGCATAGGTGATGGGGAAACAGGCTTTGCTGTGATAGACAATGGTCGCTGGTGTCGAATGTGTGACATCTGAACAGAGAATGGTATGCGACGCGAGAAATTCTCCTCGTCCAACTCTTTCATGAGGTCGTATGTGTATGAGTACGCTGGTGTGTCTCTATCTCCATTCATTCCCACTTCGCCAGTGGTGATCGTGGTCGCCGTCTCTGTTGACAGATCTGCATCGTCTGGAAGAGGAATTGTCACTTCCTCCAATGTTCCGATCCGTGACTTGTTGACACGCGACAAGTGTCCAATGATTGTGTCATAGAATGATGCTGTCTGACTTGTTGTTGACAGTGTCCTCGTGGTCTCTTGTAGATGAAGCTGACAGATATGATAGAAGAATGATGTGTTCTCTTGATTCTGATCGAGGAATCTTGTGACCGCCGATGTCTCAATGAGGTCCGTGAGGAAGTTCTACAAGAGATGGCAATTGATCAATCAGTATATGGATGCTCCAATCAATCACCGACTCACGCTGATCAGCGGGTACTTACAACAACTTCAGTGTTCTGGTTCTTCATTAGGAATGATGATGTGTTGAATGATGTGATGGGCTTGGGATACTTCCTCAGGAGGTAGCGATAAGAGTTGACATCGTTGAAGAATGCCAGGAAGAAATCCATGAATGCCGCGCGTATCTGATCGTCCATTGAGATGCCGGATGAGGCCGTTGTCGAGGCTGGATAGGCCACACTGACATTGGCCATCGCCGGATAAAGTATCAAGTTGAGTCGTTTGTACAGTTGCTTCAATTGCTGTTCGGGTAGCTGTGGAAGTGTGATTGCACTTGGTATAGTAATAGTCTGTTGATCTAGATTGATTATAGTAATCTGTTGTGATGGATCGTTTGATAGATGGAGGGAGGGTGAGTGGATGTTCATGGACTGACTCATGGATTACTTGTACGAAACATACATCGTTGTTGTCGATCCTGAAGTCCTTGCCCTTGTCGTAATGCATGCCAACGATGAAGGGAGTGGGCGCTTGGAGGAAGTCGATCAGAATAGTCGGTAGGATTGGTATGAATACATGTGGCCAGACGAATGGATAGAGTAGATTGGTGATGGTCTCGCATGCAATGGTGAGCAGCGAGTCGTTTGAGGAGAGGAACAACAGCTTGCGCTCATAGAGTACCAGTGACAGTAGTTTGAGAACGCCCTGTATGCCAAGTATGTTGAAGATGAACGTGAATGGCACGTCGACCTGAGGCAGCGTCAAGCAGCTTGGCAGGCTGTAGATGAAGCGCGTCTGCTGCGTGGGAAACGCAGACAGTGTCGGCAGAACAAAGTTGAATTGGTAGCCAGAAACGGGTCGCGGCAAATCATAGATGATATTGGAGATTAGTCTTTCGAAGGGCAGTGCATGTCTCTGTTGCTCTAGCGTTGAGCGATGAATGTAGCACAATATCTCCTTCAATATATTGTAACAAGGGTATCGCGACAGTAAGTTAATAGACACTGGCGAGTATAGTGATATGTTGTATTCCTCCTGTAGTTGTGGTGTGATGGGTCGTATAGTGGCGAGTTGTTGGCGCAGAGATGTGTGTGGTGTGGCGAGGCGATAGTGTCAGTCAAAGGGTGACAACATGTTTGACAGCCACCCACGCATAATATAATGTACGTACAATATGCTCTGGCGGAAGTTGAGAGTAATATACAAGGGATGCTGCGTAGAATCTTGCGCCGTCTAGTTCTGTGAGACAGTATGTTGATAGGGCCGGCTCGAGCGGCTCCTTCTTAATGTATAGACCTGTGGGGAAGCAGAACATCCATATATGAGGCGGCAATGCTACATTCTCGTGATTGTGCGCGGGGAATCGCTCGATGATCTCCACTTGATATGGTTTCTCCAACGAGTTGGTAACAATGGATCGATTCATTGCGCATACTATATAATAATCGACCAATCGCAGGTTGGATGGTGGACCGCCACCACTATTGCTCATGCTACTGCTACTACTATTATTGCTGCCCAAACCAAGGTTTCCATTATCAATAACAACTGATCCTAATGAAGATGCTGATACTGATGCTGATGGATGTCCAATACTCAAGAATGAGGATGCTGGAGACTTTGTAGTCGGCTCGTCACACATGGTATTGATGTGTTCTGTCTCTTTCTCTCTATATATATGTCTATGTATCTATGAATGTCTGTATCTGTTGTACTAGTAATGGATGATAACATATGGTGAATGATGATGGTAATGACCATGTGACCTTCGGGGACCACCTCAAGCAAGGCCTTTGCTGCGTGGGGTGTTGCAATTCGTGTTTAGTCCAGGGCCATCTGTCCTGTTTGGGCTCAATTGTTTCGTACCCTGTTGGCCTCTGCAGAGTCAAAAACTTTGAAAAAAGGAGATGGATAAAAAAATATCTCAGTCGGAGACTGATTGAAAGTGATCACAGCACGATGTGATTAGATTGAAGGTATGACTACCCATTGGTAGTGGTAATAGCTGTTCAATTTGGTGTCATCTTGAAGAATGAGTGATGGATGAACATCAAAGTAGCCCTGGTAGAGAAGTCATTGGAATAGTAAGCTTCCTTCTTTGACTTGTCGTAGGAGAATGATAAGTGACCTCTGAAATAGGTGTTGATGATTCATCATAATAGTAGACGGGATGGAATAGAACCCAATCTTAATTAAGTAGGTGGTGGTAGTTAAATATTGTTTATTTGATTGATTGATTGATTTGATTGAGTGATTTGATTGAAGTAAAATAAAATATGGCGTAATAATCAGTGTGGATTATTATTTCTTTATCATCGCTGTGTTGATGGAAGGAGTAAGTGTTAGTCACTGATTGATTGATAGACTATGATGGATTGTTGATAACATACCTGCACCAGCACCAAGATAATCCTTGTCGACATTGTAGCAAACCTTGCCATTGCTGTCATAGGCATTGTCATTCTGGATAATGCCCAGTGGTGAGTAGCCTGGTTGTGAGATTGTTAGACAGACGTTGGGGTGGTCGCCATCAAAGTAGAAGTAGTACGAGTGGATGACCTCCTTTGATGAGGTGCCTGCGGGGGACGTCTGAGTGACCGTGCCGCCCACGAGTAGCTTGGAGTAGTCCATCTTTCCTTGTCTTGCGGCTGTGTCATCCCAGACCGATCCCTGGACTCTCCATCTCTTGATGAAACCATAGTTGGCGTCCAGAATATCAGAGGTGATCTCGAAGCAGTAGTAACCATTGGTGTCATACTTGTTGTCAGTCCTGGTCTCTGATGGCCAGTAGCCGCCACCAATCTTTGTACCGAGGATACAGTATTGACCAGCACGCAGATCGCGGAAGTAGTAGTACTCTCCACCAGTCGTGTCCAATGTCAACAGGTCTCTGCCTCTCCTGTCCTTGAGAATCATACGTACACCGGACAACACTCTCGACTTGTCAAGTATACCCAAGTTGTCTTTGGTATCATCCCAGATAGTGCCTCGCACCATGTATCTAGGAGCAACGACGAATGCTTTGGGAATGAGGAGAGGGGGTTATGGTCAGCGTCTGATACGACGAATGAATGATTGAATGTGTAATATATATAACTTACCGGCATGAAGGTCAACGTCTTGAGTAGCGCGGAAACAATACTTTCCAGTATTGTCAATGATGTTGTCGTTTCCTTTGGTGGATGGGACGTAGTCTGGATAGTCGACGTATGGGTATGTGATATTGAAGCAGTACAAACCACCAGCACCGAGCGTGTAGATGATTGGTTTGCCGGTAGTGATGTAGCTGTCAATCAATATGTTTTGATCATTCGTCAACTCGACCTTGGCACCAGACATTAGCAACTTGCTGTCATATATGCCTTGATTGTCAATAGTGTCGTTCCAAACATTCATTGTGACCCTGAGCTTCTTGAGACCAGCTATTAATTGTGGTGGTGGATGGATGATCACGGGTGGGAGGGTGATTAGTCGTTTGACTGATTGTCAGTGGGGGAGAGTGTCACACATTACATACCATAGTGAGCATCAAGAACATCGTCTGGGAATCCAAGGCTAACACAATGCTGTTTCTCGAGGAAACTCATATCATTTCTGTGGCGTCCTGGGATGTAAGTTCCATCTTCGCGGTAGGCCTCAACACAGTACTGGCTAGCTGGAAGACCTGTGAAGGCGTATTCTCCACTCACATCATTTAGTGTCTTGATCAACTTGTAGTTGACGTCAAAGAGATTGATTGTCATTCCACCCAGAGGTCTGGACTTGTTTAGGAATCCTTCGTCCTTCAACGAATCATCCCAACAGAAACCAGCAATGGTGAACTTGGACTTGATGAATGCTGTCATGATTGATTGCGTGAGTATGAATGAATTACGAACGATCAGACCATGTTTGAATATATAAACTTACCGGCCTTTGGTTCGATGTTGCGGTCGAGAGTGAAGCAGTACCTTCCAGAGCTGTCAAAGACGTTGTCATGCGCACGGACACTTAATGGAATGAAATCTGCGTGGGTCGCTTGCAAACAGTAGCTACCTTGTGGCGCAGTGAAGGTGGTGCCATTCCTTAAGGTAATTTGTCTGGCAACCAGGTTGCCAGCAGAGGTCTTCAGATCGACGTAGACATTGTCCAGATTCCTCTCAACTCTGTAGTATCCATCCTTGTTCTCAGTGTCATCCCATGCATTGAACTGGATTGTGAATACCTTGACACCGCCAAAGTTTGCATTGGTGACGCTATCGGGACCAACAGTGAAGCAGTATTTGCCCTTGTTAAACTTGTTGTCGTTGGCGAACTTGCCCGGTTGGTAGGAGCCGTCGGGGATGGATGCAGTGAGACAGTAGTCGCCGGCGGGGACCTTAGTGAATTTGTAGTCTCCCTTGACATTGTTCAAGGTCTGAGTGAATGTGTTGCCTCCATTGTTTGTGAGCTCCATGCGGACGCCTCCCAGAGGCTTGCTCCTGTCCAAGTTGCCCAAGTTGTTGGCCGAGTCATCCCAAGTGAATCCCGAAACATCAAACTTGGTTCTGACGAATGCTATATGTGATTGATTGAGTGGATGGGGGTGACGAGGATCAGTATCCAGTAACTGGGGGGTGGGGGGTGATGAGATGTCACCCTATCGATCAATCAATCAATATACATACCAGCCTTGGCTCTAGTGTCCTTGTTAAGATCGAAGCAGAACTTGCCAGAGTCGTCAAAGTCATTCTCGTTCCTGACCTTGGAATAGGAGTAGCGACCGTCTGGGGTGGATGCTGTGATACAGTACCTGCCCTGTACGAGATTGATCTCAAGGAGGCCGGTGGGAGGTGATGAGCTCTGTACTGAGTTTCCTTCACCATCTCTAATGTTAAACTTGGTTCCAATCATTCTCTTGGCCTCGTTGTAGACACCCAGGTTATCAGCGGTGTCATCCCAAGAGTCGACAGTGAGCTTGAAGATCTTGACGCCGGCGTAGTGGGCGTCGTCAATGTCTGGTCCGACTGTGAAGCAGTACTCGCCCCTGTTGAACTTGTTGTCGTTCATGAAGCGACCATATTGGTATGTACCATCTGGGCGAGATCCCTTGAGACAGTAGAGGCCTGGCTTGATGTTGTCGAATGCATAGTCACCACTTAGGCCACTCTGTGACGTGATGACGTTGCCAAGGCTGCTGATGAGATCCATGGTGATGCCTCCCAGTGGCCTGCTCCTGTCCAAGATACCAACATTGGTCTCGGAGTCGTCCCAAATGAAACCGCGGACATTGAACGATGTCCTTTCCATGGCCAGATGTGCATTGGTGATGGATGGTCCGACCACGAAACAGAACTTGCCATCGTCAAAGACGTTGTCGCCCTTCTTGGGAAGGGGCTTGAAGCGATCGCCTGGCATTGACGCGACGATACAGTAGTCGCCATCGATGAGGCCAGTGAACTTGTAGCCTCCCTCGGCATAGTCGATGGTTCGGACAATGTTGCTTAGCTCAGAAGAATCAAATAGTTGCAGTTTGACACCGTCCAACTTGGCAGACTCATCCAAGATGCCTTGCTTGCGCAGTGTGTCGTCCCATATTATTCCTGACACTTCATAAGTTGGTCTAACGATCATAGCTATGATTGATTGATTGATTGATTGATTGATTGATGGTGTTAGTGATTGATTGATTGATTGATTGATTGATTGAATGAATGGATACATACCCAAATGAGCATTGACAATGTCTGGACCGACATTGAAACAATATTGTCCTTTGGAGTTGAAGACGTTGTCGTTTTGTTTGGCGCCTGGAATGTAGGATCCATCAGGATAGTATGCGCGAGCACAATAGCTGCCCGGCACCAGACCCTTGAATGAGTAGCTTCCAAAGGTTTTGGTGTCCGAACGAGCAACAATATCAACGACTTGTTCGTCGACCAGATCGACTCTCACTCCGTCCAGCAACTTGTTCATGTCAAGAATGCCCTTGTTGTCAGCAGTGTCGTCCCAAATATAACCAGAGACATCGAATGTCCTCTTGAACAACTCCATGGCAAAGTGGGCGTTGTTGTTGCTTGGACCGAGTGTGACGCAGTACTTGCCATCTGTGAATACGTTGTCGTTCTGGAACTTGCCAGGGCCGTAGTTGCCATTGGGGAAGTGGCCAATGACACAGTAATAACCAGCGTAGAGTCCGGTGAACATATATGAGCCTTGGGCGTCCTCAACGGTATCGAGCTGATTGCCTTTGTTATCAAACAACTTCATGGTGGCACCAATGAGCAGATTGTTCATGTCCAATATTCCCTTCTTATCTTTGGTATCATCCCAGATAAAACCAGCAATTGTGAAGACCTCACGCTTGACCAATGCTTTGATTGATGGATGAGCGAGTGAGTTAGTGATTGAGTGATTGATCAAGTGAGTGTGAATGAGTGACATACCAAAGTGTCCATTGGTCTTGCTTGGGACTGCATTGAAGCAGAATCTGCCGTGGTTGAACTCGTTGTCATTCTTGAAGATACCTGGAGCGAAGACACCGGTGGGGTCGGAACCCTCAATACAGTATTGACCAGCAGTCAGTCCATTGAATATGTACTTTCCAGATTTAGGACTCTGACGGCCAACCTCCTTGTCCTGGGCATCCTTCAAAATCATCAGGGCACCACTGAACAACTTGCTGGCGTCCAAAATACCCTCGTTCTTCTCCGAGTCATCCCAGATAAATCCTACAATGACACGGGACTCTGTTAGTCACTCACTCAATCAATCAAACAAATCAATCATCAATCAAACTTACCTTGTACGTAGTAGGTACCAGCCTTGATCATAGCAACGTCGAGGTCTTCAATGCTGTTTGGACCTACCTTGAAGCAGACTCGACCATTTTGGAACTTGTTGTCACCAAGGAATGGTGCATTGGTGTAGGTGTTGTCGGCTGAGCTGGCGACGATGCAGTATGGGCCTGCAGAGAGATCCTTGAAGAAGTAGAATCCGTTGACATCGGTGGTATGTGAGCCATAGTTCAATCCGGCCTCGTCAAAGATAGTCAACACGATGTTGCCAAGTGGCTTCTTAGGATCCATCAACATGTCTTGGCTGCCCGTGGCATCCCATGCTCGGCCAGATGCTGTGTACCTGGGCGTTGGGTTGACAGTGGTAACGATGGACGTTGTTACAGGGCCAGTGGTGGGGGTTGATGTCATATGGGATGTTGTCACATCACTTGTGGTCGTTGTGATGACCAACGTTGAAATGTCTGTTGTGGTTTGATCAGTCGTTGGAGTGGAGGTCGTGCTAGCAGTGGTTGATACCGTTGTGGTCTGAGTGATCGTGGATCCTTCTCCGCCAGTGGTGCTGGCCGTGGTGGTCATTGTTGTAGTAGCAGTCGTGGACGTAGGCACATGAGTGGAGGTCGTGGGCGGAGTGAACGTTGTGCTGGCAGTGGTGGTGGCCGTTGTGGTCTGAGTGATCGTTGATCCGGCACCAGTCGTCGAGACCGTGGTTGTCATAGTGGTCGAGGCCGTGGTCGTCGTTGGTCCTGGTTTGGAAGACGTGCTAGCTGTCGTTGCCGTTGTGGTCTGTGTGATCGTTGATCCTTCACCAGTTGTAGTCATTGTGGTTGAGGCAGTGGTGGTTGTCGAGGCAGTGGTAGTTGGGCTGACAGTAGTGGTAACAGTCGTGCTAGCGGTTGTGGACTGAGTGGATATGGTTGTTGTGGCAGAGGTTGATGCAGTGGCCTGTGATCCGGTGCTCGCTGTAGTGCTGACAGTGGTCGATTGAGTGGACACTGTAGTTGTCACTGATGTGGAGGTGAGTATGTCAGTGCTGATGCCCGTGGCAGTGGTAGAGACAGTGGTTGTGGCCGTTGTGGTCTGAGTGATCGTTGATCCTTCACCAGTTGTTGATGCCGTAGTGGTCATGGTCGTTGATGCTGTGGACGTGACAGTTGTCGAGGCCGTGGTCGTGACTGTGGTTGTCTGAGTAATTGTCGATCCTGCACCAGTTGTTGACACAGTCGTTGTGGCAGTGGTTGAAGTGGGACTGTTGGTTGTGGAGACAGTCGTGCTGGCAACAGTTGACTGAGTGGACACCGATGTGGTAGCCGATGTCGAGGTCAATGCTGAGGTACTGGCTGTGGTAGACTGAGTGGATACGGCTGTGGTTGCTGTTGTAGATGCAACAGTGCTGGCAGTTGTTGACTGAGTGGACATGGTTGTGGTAGCTGTTGTCGATGTGATCGTGGTCGTTACAGTTGTTGTTTGAGTGATCGTTGATCCAGCACCAGTCGTTGTGGCCGTGGTTGTCACTGTTGTCGAGGAAGTTGTCGTAGCGGTGGTTGTTGGGATGGTGGTAGTGGAGGCAGTCGTGGTGGCAGTGGTAGATTGAGTTGACACTGTTGTCGATGTCACTGGACTTGTTGCAATTGTTGAGATTGTGGTTGATGCCGATGTTGTTTGTGTAATGGTTGATGCTGCATCAGTTGTTGTAGCCGTGGTTGTCACTGTTGTCGAGGCAGTCGTTGGCATGCCGGTAATGGTCACGGTGGTGCTGGCAGTGGTCGACTGAGTGGACACTGTTGTTGTGGCAGTTACTTGGGCAACTGTACTCGCAACAGTGCTGGCGGTGGTTGATTGCGTGGAGACCGTGGTTGTCACTGTTGTTGTCACTGGAGCAGTAGACGTGGCAGTTGTAGTGATGGTGGTCGTCGCTGAAGTTGTCTGGGTGATCGTTGATCCTGCACCAGTTGTTGATACAGTGGTGGTGTAAGTTGTCGAGGCTGTAGTTGAAGTTGGTCTGGCAGTGGTGGTAACAGTTGTGCTGGCAACAGTGGACTGAGTGGACACAGTGGTGGTGGCCGATGTTGACGTCAATGGACCAGTGGCCGAGGTTGATGCGGTAGTGCTGGCTGTGGACACAGTTGTTGTGGCAACGGTCGATGTTGGTCTGTTTGTCGTTGAGGCAACAGTGCTGGCAGTGGTCGACTGAGTGGAAACAGTGGTGGTGGCAACTGTGGACGTGATTGGACCTGTAGCAGAGGCAGTGGTCGAGGCAACAGTGCTGGCAACAGTTGATTGAGTTGATACCGTCGTTGTCACTGTGGTAGAGCCAGTGGCAGTGGTGGTGATGGTGGTCGTGGCCGATGTGGTCTGAGTGATTGTCGATCCTGCACCAGTTGTTGACACGGTAGTTGTGTATGTTGTCGAGGCAGTGGTGGACGTTGGTCTGGAGGTGGTGGTCACAGTGGTGCTTGCAACAGTTGACTGAGTGGACACTGTTGTTGTGGCCGATGTTGTAGCTGTTACCTGGGCAATTGTACTAGCAACAGTACTGGCAGTGGTTGATTGAGTGGAGACAGTAGTTGTCACTGTTGTGGATGTCACTGGACCAGTTGCCGTTGCGGTGCCTGTGGCAGTTGTCGTGATGGTGGTCGTTGCCGACGTAGTTTGAGTGATCGTTGATGCTGAACCAGTTGTCGTTGCAGTGGTGGTCACAGTTGTCGAGGCTGTCGTTGATGTGGGTCTGGATGTTGTGCTCACTGAGGTGCTGGCTGTCGTAGATTGAGTGGACACAGTTGTTGTAGCAACGGTCGAAGTTGGTCTGTTGGTCGTTGAGGCAACAGTGCTGGCTGTGGTCGACTGAGTGGACACGGTGGTAGTCGCTACGGTTGAAGTGATTGGACCAGTTGCAGAGGCAGTACCAGTGGCAGTGGTCGAGGCAACAGTGCTGGCAACAGTTGATTGAGTGGATACTGTTGTCGACACGATTGTAGTGGCAGTGCCAGTTGCAGTTGTAGTGATGGTGGTAGTGGCCGATGTTGTCTGAGTGATTGTCGATCCAGCACCAGTGGTTGATACCGTAGTGGTGTATGTTGTCGAGGCTGTTGTGGACGTTGGTCTGGCGGTGGTGGTAACAGAGGTGCTTGCAACTGTTGATTGAGTGGACACTGTTGTTGTAGCTGATGTAGTGGCTGTTACTTGAGCAATGGTACTGGCAACAGTGCTGGCAGTGGTTGATTGGGTGGAGACCGTTGTTGTCACTGTTGTGGATGTCACTGGACCAGTTGCAGTTGCGGTGCCTGTTGCAGTGGTAGTGATGGTGGTCGTGGCCGATGTTGTCTGAGTGATCGTTGATGCTGAACCAGTTGTCGTTGCAGTGGTGGTCACAGTAGTCGAGGCTGTTGTTGATGTTGGTCTGGCGGTTGTGGTCACTGTTGTGCTGGCTGAGGTCGACTGAGTGGACACTGTGGTTGTGGCTGATGTTGAAGTCACCTGACCTGAGGCAGTCGTTGACACTGTGGTGCTGGCAACTGTGGACTGAGTGGACACTGTTGTTGTTGCAACAGTCGAGGTCACAGGGCTTGTGGCAGTACCTGTAGCAGTGGTAGTGATAGTCGTTGTGGCCGATGTTGTCTGTGTGATCGTTGATCCTGCACCAGTTGTTGACACGGTGGTTGTGTATGTCGTCGATGCTGTAGTTGACGTGGGCCTGGCTGTGGTGGTAACAGTTGTGCTGGCAACAGTGGACTGAGTAGACACTGTGGTGGTGGCCGATGTTGATGTCAATGGACCAGTGGCCGAGGTTGATGCGGTAGTGCTGGCTGTGGTAGATTGAGTGGACACAGTTGTTGTGGCAACGGTCGATGTTGGTCTGTTAGTGGTCGAGGCAACTGTGCTGGCTGTGGTCGACTGAGTGGACACAGTAGTAGTAGCCACGGTCGAAGTGATTGGACCAGTTGCAGAGGCAGTACCAGTGGCAGTGGTCGAAGCAACAGTGCTGGCAACAGTTGATTGAGTTGATACCGTCGTTGTCACTGTGGTAATGCCAGTGGCAGTGGTGGTGATGGTGGTCGTGGCCGATGTGGTCTGAGTGATTGTTGATCCCGCTCCAGTTGTTGTGGCGGTAGTCGTCACTGTTGTCGAGGCAGTGGTTGACGTTGGTCTGGAGGTGGTCACAGTGGTGCTGGCGACAGTCGACTGAGTGGACACTGTAGTTGTGGCCGATGTTGTAGCTGTTACCTGGGCAACTGTACTCGCAACAGTACTGGCAGTGGTTGATTGAGTGGAGACCGTTGTTGTCACTGTTGTGGATGTCACTGGACCAGTTGCCGTCGCGGTGCCTGTTGCAGTTGTTGTGATGGTGGTCGTGGCCGACGTAGTTTGAGTGATCGTTGATCCTGCACCAGTTGTCGTTGCAGTGGTGGTCACAGTTGTCGAGGCTGTCGTTGATGTTGGTCTGGCGGTTGTGCTCACTGTTGTGCTGGCTGAGGTCGACTGGGTGGACACTGTGGTTGTGGCTGATGTGGAGGTCACTTGACCTGAAGCAGTCGTTGACACAGTGGTGCTGGCAACTGTGGACTGAGTTGAAACGGTTGTTGTTGCAACTGTCGAGGTCACAGGGCTTGTGGCAGTACCTGTAGCAGTCGTTGTGATTGTCGTTGTGGCCGAGGTTGTCTGAGTGATCGTCGATCCAGCACCAGTTGTTGACACGGTAGTTGTGTATGTTGTCGAGGCAGTGGTTGACGTTGGTCTGGCGGTGGTGGTAACAGTTGTGCTGGCTGAGGTCGACTGAGTGGACACAGTGGTGGTAGCCGATGTTGACGTCAATGGACCAGTGGCCGAGGTTGACGCGGTAGTGCTCGCAACAGTTGACTGGGTGGACACAGTTGTTGTGGCAACGGTCGATGTTGGTCTGTTTGTCGTTGAGGCAACTGTGCTGACTGTTGTCGACTGAGTGGACACGGTGGTGGTGGCAACTGTGGAAGTGATTGGACCAGTTGCAGAGGCAGTACCAGTGGCAGTGGTCGAGGCAATTGTGCTGGCAACAGTTGATTGAGTTGATACTGTTGTGGACACGGTGGTAGTTGCAGTGCCGGTAGCAGTGGTGGTGATGGTGGTCGTGGCCGATGTTGTCTGAGTGATCGTTGATCCAGCACCAGTTGTTGTGGCGGTAGTCGACACAGTTGTCGAGGCAGTGGTAGATGTGGGTCTGGCGGTGGTGGTCACTGTTGTGCTGGCTGAGGTTGACTGCGTCGACACTGTAGTTGTGGCCGATGTTGTAGCTGTTACCTGGGCAATGGTACTCGCGACTGTGCTGGCAGAGGTCGATTGAGTAGAGACAGTAGTTGTCACTGTTGTGGATGTCACTGGACCAGTAGCAGTAGCAGTGGTTGTGATGGTGGTCGTTACTGATGTTGTCTGTGTGATCGTTGATCCAGCTCCAGTTGTTGAGGCCGTGGTGGTAACTGTTGTAGACACAGATGTTGAAGTTGGAGTTGCAGAGGTAGTAACAGTTGTGCTAGCAACAGTGGACTGGGTGGACACGGTAGTTGTAGCTGTTGCTGAGGTAACTGGACCTGTAGACAAGGTGGTGCTGGCAACTGTGGACTGGGTTGAGACAGTCGTTGTGGCAACAGTCGATGTTGGTCTGTTAGTGGTCGATGCGACAGTGCTGGCGGTGGTCGACTGAGTGGATACAGTGGTGGTGGCGACAGTGATGGGTCCAGTGGCAGAAGCAGTACCAGTAGCAGTGGTCGAGGCAACTGTGCTGGCAACAGTTGATTGAGTGGATACTGTTGTTGACACGGTGGTGGTTGCAGTGCCCGTGGCTGTGGTAGTGATCGTTGTTGTAGCCGATGTTGTTTGTGTGATTGTTGATCCTGCACCAGTGGTTGTTGCAGTAGTCGAAACAGTAGTTGTCACAGTTGTTGAGGTTGGTCTGGCAGTAGTGGTCACAGTCGTGCTGGCTGTTGTGGACTGAGTGGACACTGTGGTTGTGGCCGAAGTGGACGATGCCGAGACCTGTGCAGTTGTCGAGGCAACTGTTGACTGAGTGGACACTGTTGTTGTAACAGGGCTGGTTGCAGTTGCAGTACCAGTGGCGGTTGTTGTGATTGTTGTTGTAGCAGATGTCGTTTGAGTGATCGTTGACGCTCCTCCAGTGGTTGACGCGGTGGTTGACACCGTGGTCGTGGCAGTGGTGGAAGTTGGCCTGCCAGTAGTGGTCGCAGTTGTGCTAGCAACAGTGGACTGAGTGGACACAGTCGTGGTTGCAGAAGTGGATGTCACTGGACCAGATACCGATGTTGACACTGTGGTGCTGGCAGTTGTGGACTGGGTCGAGACAGTTGTTGTGGCAACAGTCGATGTTGGTCTGCTGGTGGTCGATGCGACAGTGCTGGCGGTGGTCGACTGAGTGGACACTGTGGTGGTGGCGACTGTGGATGTGATTGGACCAGTGGCAATGGTCGAGGCAACTGTGCTGGCAACAGTGCTAGCTGTTGTCGATTGAGTGGACACTGTAGTTGTGACTGTCGTGGACGTCACCGGACCTGTAGAGGCAGTGGTAGTGATAGTGGTCGTGGCTGACGTTGTTTGAGTGATTGTCGATCCAGCTCCAGTGGTTGTTGCAGTTGTTGAAACTGTCGTAGTTACTGTTGTCGAGGTTGGCCTGGCTGTAGTGGTAACAGTCGTGCTGGCGACAGTGGACTGAGTTGAGGCTGTGGTAGTTGCAGATGTTGACGTCACTGGACCAGATGCAGAGGTTGACACTGTGGTGCTGGCAGTCGTGGACTGAGTGGACACTGTGGTCGTGGCAACAGTCGATGTAGCAGTAACCTGAGCAACGGTACTGGCAACAGTGCTGGCGGTGGTTGATTGAGTGGACACTGTTGTCGCAACGGTTGTGGATGTCACTGGACCAGTAGCAGTGGCCGTGGCAGTGGCAGTACCTGTAGCAGTGGTAGTGATTGTCGTTGTAGCCGATGTTGTCTGAGTGATAGTTGATGCTCCACCCGTAGTGGATGCTGTTGTAGTTACTGTGGTTGAGAATGTTGTCGATGTTGGTGTGGCAGTTGTAGTCACTGTTGTGCTGGCAACTGTCGATTGAGTTGACACTGTTGTCGTGGCTGATGTGGACGAAGCAGTCGTCACTGGACCAGTTGCCGAGGTGGAAACAGTGGTGCTGGCAACGGTTGATTGAGTTGACACTGTGGTTGAAACAGTTGTGCTGGCAGTTCCAGTCGCAGTGGTAGTGATGGTGGTCGTTGCCGAGGTTGTTTGAGTGATTGTTGATCCTGCGCCAGTGGTTGATGCCGTTGTTGTCACGGTCGTGGAGACAGTGGTAGATGTTGGCCTTCCAGTTGTCGACACTGTAGTGCTGGCAGTTGTGGACTGCGTGGACACTGTCATCGTTGCTGTAGTGGTTGCAGTGGCAGTGGTCATAGACGTACTGGCGACAGTGCTGGCAGTTGTGGACTGTGTTGAGATGGTTGTAGTCGCAACGGTGGACGATGCAGAGACTTGTGCCGTAGTACTGGCAAATGTGCTGGCCGATGTGGACTGAGTGGATACAGTCGTTGTCACGGTCGTGGATGTCACTGGACCAGTAGCCGTGGCAGTTGCCGTGGCAGTGGCTGTCGTAGTGGCAATTGTGCTCGCAACAGTGGATTGGGTGGACGCAGTTGTCGAGGCGACTGTTGACGAGACGGCAGTGGTGCTCACGGTGGTCGTGGCAACCGTACTGCTCTGGTGATTGGTGGTTGTGGCTGTTGTTGTGACCGTGGTCGAGGCGGTCGATATTGGATAGCATTGTGCTTGTCCATTCGTCACGCGGCATACTGTGTCAGATGGGCAATTCCTGAACCTGCACTTATCGAAGCAACGAGGTGGCAGTCCAAGTTCTTGACCACAGCATACCTGATCAGCTTGGCAATTAACTTGACCGCAACGCTCTGTACAGTTTTGTTTTTTGATTGATTAGTTAGTGATCATCACCAACATGCAGTAATAATATGGAACAAATTGATTGATTGATCAGTGGTAACCAATCAATATGCGTAAAATTTGTCCACATTGTTCCATATACTGATTGAATGTAATGTACATACCAGAGACGACAAGACAGCAACAAAGACCTAATAACAATATTAGTAATATGGCTATATTCTTCATTCTGTGTTTGGATACTTTAGAACTAATGAAAGATTGATTCACGCACTCATGAGTTGCTCAACCTTTATATTAAAGCGACTGTTCAAGGTATGTTTGATTGAAAAGAGTCCCTGTTGTAGAGGAAGGGAGTGAGTGGGAGGGGATGGAGGGAGGAGGGATAGGGACTCTCTACATTCAACACATCTAAACTCCGCCTTTTTGAGATGATGTAAGTGTAAGTGAGTGCGTTAGTGAGTGAGTATGATTGGTAAGATGGTTGGATGGATGATGAACACCTGACTGACTGACTCAATACCATACTTCATTAAACAGAGTGTGTAAAGTGGCCCTTTGATCTGGAACTGTGAGAAATCCATTGTGTTTGTTGGTTGAATGTAAACATCACAACACAAACTCAAGATGGTAACATTGGCAATGTTTGTTTCAAAGGGGTAAGAATGTACCTAAAGGGCCTGGAACTACCAATAATAAGCTGATCAATTATGATGAATTAGTGTTAATAAGTCAAGTCAAGCACTCACTCACTTTTAAATCCCTCACTCTCTCTCTCTCCACCCTAGGCCGTGTGCCTGCCTAAGCACACTCACACAAACCACTGATCAATCAAACACCCACTTTCTCATTGCACTCCAGCTTGATTGATTAATCAATCACTTACATAGATCTTGTGTACCACAATTGATTGTGTTGTATGGTATGTATTACATACTTCTATGAAGATGTAAAGGCATGTTGTGATCTAATTCAGTAGGTGGTGCAAACTCTATAAATGAATGTTATGACAAGGATGATCAAGTCAGGTGATCAACACCCTTTTGACCCTCCTTTAGATGCCAATGATCCTCCAATCTTGAGTTTACTCATGATATTGAGTATATATATGTTGGTTGATAGATTATTTGTAATAAGATGATGAAGTGTGGAACATGAATGAACAAGATCTAGTTGGTTGCTGCTAAGGTTCTGCAGGGGATAGTCAAGGTTACGCAGAGAATTCATTTTTCAGCGGTCTCAATCCTTGGGTTCGAGCTGGTTCGACCCTGGACAACCCTTGGAACAGCAAGGGGAACCCTTTCAAACCTTATCTGATGTTAATTAAATATTTATATTTTTATTGTTGTTGTTGTAGTTGTTGTTGTGGTTGTTGTTGTTGTTGTATGATAAATTAGACCTTAAAGAAATCGTCGTCTCGTCCAAAGGAGTGGAACATATTGGTCAAATATGCGATAATTGTCCAGAGTGCGTTGTGTCGTTGAATGTTGTCAGAAAGGTCGCCAAGTGATCTGATTGTGTCTGACAATATGTTCCATTTCTTCATCTCTCCAAAGACATTCTCAATGATGATCCTCACCTTCTTGATTCGATTGCTCTCATCTTTCTCTCTCAGGATACGCTCGGCATCGAATCCTTCTTTGGTGACCTTGGCTTCCAATGCCTTCAACTTCTTAGATACCTTGGTCGCCTCCTTTCCTTGACGCAGGCGATGCTCATCGAGCGTGCGTTTTCTGATCATCTTGTCTGTGTACTCCATATGATCGATCAATGAAGCCGACTTGATCTTGGGGGTGATGGTGTTGGTGTAGTACTTCTGACCTCCTTTGAATCCTTTGTCACCGAGAATGACAATATCTTCATCGAACAGAGCCTGTAGTCTAGGTGCAGTATCCTTGTAGAGCGAGACGTCAGGTTGTTCTTTTTTCTCTGTCTTACCTACATACACGATCTTGCCACGTATATCGCAAATGACCAACACTGCCAAAG